ACTTTTCCCCCAATTATTAAAAATAGTGCATGATCATTTTCAAAACTTCGAAAAAACATCGAAAGGCACAAAGAATATAAAAATCACCCAAGCCCTACAGATAATATGAAAGGAAGTTTACAGTTTTTTTTTTTAAAGATTTTATTTATTTATTTGAGAGAGAGAGAATGAGAGAGAGCACATGAGAGGGAGGAGGGTCAGAGGGAGAAGCAGACCCCCCGCCGAGCAGGGAGCCCGATGTGGGACTCGATCCAGGGACTCCAGGATCACGACCTGCGCCGAAGGCAGTCGCCCAACCAACTGAGCCACCCAGGCACCCCGGAAGTTTACAGTTTTGATTGTAATAAGCCTAAGCATGGACTATTTAGGGGCAGGTTAGGTAGTTTTTAAATTCATTAGTATCTGACTTAATAGAATAATTATATCCTTTGTTGGTCCTTGTCCTTGGTTTTTTCCAGCTTTGTAGATCCTTCCTATAAAGGAACAGGACTTGAGTGGAGAGAAAATGGTGGCATTCCTTTGCTTTGATTCTGTAGCACCAGTGACAGGCTGGGGTTGAGGTTGGCAGTGCAGTGTCTTTGGGGGTACCTGTTGTTTTCTGGGCCGTTTTTGCTTTACCAGCTGCAGCAGCCACACCTCCCCTCTTCTTTGATCACAGGCTGTGAGAATGGCTATTTGAAGGAATCATCCATTGTAATGTGGAAACCTGGTTGTGGTGTCCACTGGAGTCTTGTGTTTATAACTCCAGTGGACACCATCTAGACTGTAGATTATATAAATGGTTCCTCCTGGAGCATAACAATTGGCCTGTTTACTTTCATTCCTTTTCTCCCCAAAAGAGAGATATTAACTTTGATGAAAAAGCTTAAAGGATCCTAAGTGTCTTTTTATTAATTTTTGAAATTTCATTTCATTTTTTCCTTCTTTTTAAAATGGGCTAGCGGAGCGCCTGGGTGGCTCAGTTGGTTAAGTGTCTGCCTTTGGCTCAGGTCATGATCTCAGGGTTCTGGGATTAAGCCCAGCATCAGGCTCCCTGCTCAGTGGGGAAGTCTGCTTCTCCCTCCCACTCTGCCTCTGTGCTCTTTCTCTCTCAAACAAATAAATAAAATCTTAAAAAAAAAAAAATGGGCTAGCCTTGTGGCACCTGGGTAGCTCAGTTGGTTAAGTATCCCAGAGTCCTGGGATCAAGCCCCATGTCAGGCTCCCTGATCAGTGCAGAATTTGCTTCTCCCTCTCCCTCTGCCCCTCCCTCACTCATGCACGCACATGCTCTCTCTCAAATAAATAAGTAAAATCTTTAAAAAAAATGGGTTAGCTTTTATTTCATTGTTCAGGAACATAGCACGTTGTGTTGGATTTATTGGGGAAATTAAATTTGAATTGATTCTGCTAATTATGATTTGAATTAGAGGAAAAAGTATTAAAAGATAACTGTAAGCTTTTCATTTGAAAATAGTTTTACTTAGTGATTAAAAATTAGAGCAGTATGAAACTCAATAATAAAAAGACAAATAGCCCATTTAAAAAATGGCCAAAGAACCTAATAGACATTTCTCCAACGAAGGTATACAAATGGCCCTTAAGTACCTAAACAGATGCTCAACATCATTAGACATTAGGCAAATGCAGGTCAACACCACAAGGAGATACCATCACTCCCACTAAGATGGACAATAATAAGCATTGGTCAAGATTTGGAGAAATTGGAATGCTCCTACATTGCTGGTAAGAATGTAAAATCACATAGTCACTTGGAAAAATGTCTGGTAGTTTTTTGAAATGTCAAATATAAACTTACCATATGATTCAGCAATTATCTTCCTAGGTATATGCCCAAGAAAAATGAAATATATTTCTACACAAGAACTTGTACATGAATGTTAATAGCAGCATTATTCAAAATACCTAAAAAGTGGGGGGCACCTGGGTGGCTTAGTTGGTTGTGTGCCCGACTCTTGATTTTGGTTCAGGTTATGATCTCAGGTCATGGAATTGAGCCCCGCATCCGGCTCTGTGCTTGGCAGGGAGTCTGCTTGACATTCTTTCTCTCTCCCTCTGCCCCTGCCCCCACTCTTGCACACAAGTGCTCTCTCTCCCTCTCTCTCTCAAATAAATAAATCTTTAAAAAAAATACCCCCAAAGTGGAAATAACACATATATCCATCAACTAATAAAATGATAAACAAAATGTGCTCTATCCAGACACTGGAATATTATTTGGCAATAAAAAGGAATGAAGTACTGCTACATCATCAACATGTATCTTGAAGACGTTATGCTAAGTGAAAAAGCAAGTCACGGAAGACCATATATTGTATAAGTCCATTAATATGAAATGTCCAGGCTAGAGAAAATCTGTAGATACTGAAAGCAGATTAGTGGTTGCCTAAAACTAGAGGTGGAGGGGGAAATGCAGAGTGAGTGCTAATGGATAGATGCAGTGTTTGTTTTGGATGACAAAATTTTGTAAAGTCAGACTGTGATGATAGGAGCACCTGGGTGGCTCAGTTAGGCATCTGACTCTTGGTTACCGCTCATGATCTCAGGGTTGGTGGATCAAGCCGGTGTTCAGCAGGGAGTCTGCTTGAGATACTCTCCCTCTTTCTCCTCCGTGCTCCTCCCCCAACTCTGTCTCTCAAATAAATAAATAAATAAAATCTTAGATTGTGGTGATAGTTGAACACCTCTAAGAATAGACCAAAAGCCCCTGATTGTATACTTTAAATGGGTGAATTGTATGGTCTGTGAATTATAGCTCAATAAAGCTGTTTAAAAACTTAAAAAAAAAAAAAAGCATAAAATCATGGCAAAGGAAGGACAGGGGCACCTGGGTGGCTCAGTTGGTTGAGTGACTGCCTTTGGCTCAGGTCATGATCCTGGAGTCCCGGGATCGAGTCCCACATCGGGCTCCCTGCTTAGTAGGGAGTCTGCTTCTCCCTCTGACCCTCACCCCTCTCATTCTTTCTCTCTCTGTCATTCTCTCTCTCTCAAAAATAAATAAAATTAAAAAAAAAGGACAAATTTTCCAACATAATTGAAAATATTGAAATACGATGTATTGTTTTTCTTATCCTCTATTAACCCAATAACAGTATTTTTCACTAGCCAGAAATCCATTCCTTCTAACTTATGAATATAACATCTAGGTTATGCTCAGGAGTAGAACAGTCAAGTTATTCTGTTCAGTTAAATTTTTAATAATTGTGCTTACTTTGGTGGTATAGATTCTAAAACTGAAGCAGTCTAAGGAGCATTTAGCATGGAGGGTATCTGAACCTCAGTGCAGTGTTCCATATATTAGAAACATTTATTGAAGGAAATAAGATAAGACCTGAATAAATGTGTGTATAGATGTGAAAATGTAGTATTGTAGAGATAGTGTTAAAAAACAAAAGTCAGTCTACGGCCATATCACCCTGAACGCGCCCCATCTCTTCTGATCTCGGAAGCTAAGCAGGGTCAGGCCTGGTTAGTCCTTGAATGGGAGACCGCCTGGGAATACCAGGTACTGTAGGCTAAAAAATCCAAAACAAAACAAAACAAAAAACAAAATTCAACCTAGTAAATTTGAAGATCTAATTGGCTTTATTAAACAATTCATGAATTGGGCAGCATCCCATCTAACAAGTAGAGAGGAGCTCTGAGGAGTTGTACAAAATGGAAGGATTTTATAGGGAGAAGGGTGGGTCAAGAAAGTTGTTAGCAAAAGGAAAGGATTGTTCCAGGCAAGGTTGCTTTCCCTTCAGGAGGAAGAGTAGCAGGTCTTACCATGCAGATTACCTCATCTTCCTTTGGGGAATGGAAAGGGCCCCTGTGGCCACTCATTGCAGACTCGTTGGCCCAGATAAGGAAAATTCCTGACTGACTGGGTAAGACTACTTTTCTGGGGGAGGTTGAAACTAGAATCAGATTAGTTATTAAACCCCAGTTTGGGACTCGCCTAGGAGACACCATTTCCTTTTTTTTTTTTCCATTTTATTTTCATTCTAGCTGCTCAGTGGCTGGAGCTGCTGGGTTCCTGGTATTAAAAAGATGCCAACAGAGGTAGCTGTGTCTCGCCCAGGGGCCAGGCCCACTCTGAATACACGCCCCCAAATAAGGGGCAGGTAACAAATTATGTTAGAGTAACTATGATAAAGCAACTCAATTTGTCGAGAAGAAAAGATTCAGGATAAATTAAACATATAATGGGGGAAACTAGAATATGTCACCCCATGATTTCACCTAAAAATAATTTTGAGCTGAAGGCAATCAAGAAGCAGTAAACACTGGAAAAGCTCCCCCTTTCCTGCCTAAAGGCCAGAAACAAATTCTCCTTTTACTGGAGAAAGACATTTGTATCAGCTTAGACAATCTGCAAACCTTTTTAAAGTAACCCTTGTCTTCCTAGTTACTTATTCTTCATTTACTATTCCAAGCCCCAACCCCTTTGTCTTGCCAATTCTTCACAAATATAAAAGCTTCCCTCTTCTTTGGGGTCTTTGTTCTCTTGTGAAGACTCCCATGTACAGGACGAATTCAGTAAAATTTATATGCTTTTCTCCTGTTAATCTGTCTTTGTCCATTTTATTTTCAGGCCCAGCCAGGGACTCTAAGAGGGTCAAGGAAAACTTTTTCCTTCCTTACAATAATATTCCATTTTAATAAAGTATAGAAATACATGTATAGATTTACTTGGGAAAAGATCTGGGAGGATATTTATATACAGGATACAATGTTGTCTTTGGGTGGAGAGCTGTGGGGGTGATTTAATTTCTTTTTTTGTGTACTAGAATAAACAAAATCAGTTTACTTTATTGGTGCTGTATTTCAGAAATGTTCACCATGTAACAGTACATAGATTTTTGTTATTTGATTTATAAAATTGATTAGACATGGGGGTGAGATGTACTTAATAATTGAAGGGCTTATGTTGTATACTTGAATTTATGTGGACTTTTCCTGTAAGACAAAGAAATAAAAACCTCATTCTGCTTTTTTTTTTTTTTTTTTATTAATAGGTTTTCTCGCACAGATATGGCAACAAGCAGCCGTCCCTTTGCATCCTTTGATACAAAACGGGCCTCTGGACGGCTCGGATCGTCTAATGTGAGCAGGTCAGGAATAGGGTGCAAGTGTTTTCGGGACAACAGGGGAGAGCAGTCCAACCCTTTGGTGAATTGGAATGTTGATGTTAAAACAGGGCTTTGTATTTTACTGACTGGCGAAATAAGCAGGTGTAGTGTCCATTTTACAAATTAGGGAAGGAGAGACAGAGCTGCTAAGGGACATGTGAATGTGTGGCGCTGTTACATAAAAAGAAAACTAAATTCAACATTTGGGGCACAACTCATTGGAGTCTTTTTTATCTTAAAATTTTTTATATCATTGATTTCATTTATAAAATAATATAACCACATTGCCAAGCATCCACCATAAATATGACTTCTTAAACTGTATTCATTCTCGTCTTTTTCCTGGGCATGTGCTTTTATCTGTTATGGATGCAGCCATAGGGTTTTCACTGAATGTTGTAATATGATTATTTTTCTACTTACATTCTTCTTGTAACCTTGGCTTAAGAGCATTTTAAGAAACATTGATTGTAGAAAATTCAGGAAATATAGAAAAGCACAAAGGAGAGATAAAAATGTATATTACCATCACTGTAACTTTGTGTGTGTGTGTGTGTGTATCCTTTCTTTTTCTCTTCATATATAGAGCAAGTCTTTTTTTTTTATTATTGATTGGGATCACATTCGATATACTATTTAGTAACCTGCTTTTTAAAAATTTTATTATTATTTTTTGCCCTGCCCCTCCACCTTATTTTTTGTGCCTGTTTTTAAAAGTTAATGTATCATGACATTTTTCCTTTCCATTAATATTTTTGGTAATATCACATTTGCTAAGTAATATTCCTTTCCTGCCCATCCTAGAATTAATATAATGAGTTCTTTTCGAACATGTATGTTGTTCCTTTATCAGAGATTAAAGGCAACTCTGTGAAAGCTATGTTTTAGTACCATGAGAAAGGGCTTTTTATCTATCCTTATAGGGTTATTAAACTTTAAGTTATATGGCAGATCTGTAGCATTTGAGATTTTGCATTTGAAATTTCAGCTACTTTTAAGTGTGTTTATAACACTCATGAATTTGGCAGTTTGCCTTAGGACTCAGCTCTCACAGTACAACAAAGGGGTGCAATAATTTGAGGATCGATGACTGGAGATGAAGCTGAAAATAACTCCTAAGGATTTTAAGGCATTTATTTTTCACATTACGATTTCATTCCATATGTCACTGCTTATGGAAATCTGAGCTTTCTTTAGAAATATGAGTCTCTCCCTCAGGGTTAACCTCTAACTCATCTGATAGTTTCCTAAGTAACTACTGCATCAACATTTATAGATCTTCTTAGATTTACAGTGGGCTTACATCCCCAATGAGCCCATCGTGAATTGAAAATGCCTTTAATAGCCCTAACCTATTGAACATCATAGCTTAGCCTCACCTACCTTAAATGTGCTCAGAACACTTAACATTAGCCTGCAGTTGGGCAAAATCATCAGAACCCATTTCTGGTAGAAAAGTAACTGAAGTGGGATTTTGTTTTCATGTTTGAAGGAATGAATTTGGAGAGGTTGGGGGCATGGAAATTCGACTTTAAGCTCTTTTAAATAAATCATCATACTGCTCATTTACTTACTGAAATATTTTCCTATTAAAAGTTGTTACACAGGGGCGCCTGGGTGGTTTAGTTGGTTAAGCATCCGACTCTTGATCTTAGCTCAGGTCTTGATCTCAGGGTCCTGAGTTCAAGCCCTTTGTCAGGCTCCATGCTGGGCATGGAGCTTATTTTTTAAAAAAATAAAAAGTTACACAAAACATTTTGTAGAAGGCTCTAATTTTATTTTATTTTATTATTATTAATTAGTTTGTTTATTTTGGTGGGTGGGAAGGGCAGAGGCAGAGGGAGAGCGAGAATCTTAAGCAGGCTCCGTGCCCGACACAGGGCTCGATCTCACAACTCTGAGATCATGACCTGAGCTGAAATCAAGTTAGTCACCTTGAGGGCCCTAATTTTAAAGAGCAAAATTTCCATCAGTCATAAATAACAGATAAGTTTTAATAAAGGGTAAAATCATAGTGATTATACAGATGTAAAAATAAACACATTTTAAAGATTTTATTTAACTCATTAATCAGTGAGGGAACTAGGCAGATTTTATAATTGATTCAAAGGAGAAATTGAAATAGCACAAATTTATATGGAGTAAAAGAATGTTGAAATTAATGTCCAAAGTCAGTAAAACTAGCTTCTTGTACAGTGAAGGAGGTAATTGAACCTCTACTAGTCAGGGATAGAATTTGCATATCTATAGACAATTATTTTGCATCACTATCAGTTAAAATTTACAGAGTTGCAATTCAACACTAAAAATACAAAACCGATTAAAAAATGGGTGGAGGACCTGAATAGACATGCAGATGGCCAACAGACACATGAAAAGATGCTCAACCTCACTAATCATTGGAGAAATGCAAATCAAAACCACAGTGAGATACCAATTATATCTGTCAGAATGCCTAAAAAAAAAAAAAAAAGCCATAACAAATGTTGGCCAGGATGTGGAGAAAAGGGAGCCCTCGTGCATTATTGGTGGGAATGTAAACTGGTGCGGCTGCTGTGGAAAACCGTATGGAAGTTCCTCAAAAAGGTAAACATAGAAATACCATATGATCCATTTTCACTACTGGGTATTTACCCAAAGAAAACGAAAACACTAATTCAAAAAGATAGATGCACCACGGGTTTATTGCACATTATTTACAATAGCCAAGATACTGAACATACGGACAGCCAAGTGTCCAGCCGTAGATACATGGACAAGGAAGATGTGGTGTATGTGTACAATGGAATATCACTCAGCTGTAAAAAAGAATGATACCTTGCCATTTGCAATAGCATGGATGGACCTAGAGGGTATAATGTTAAGTGAAATAAGTCAGACTGAGAAAGACAAATACCATGTGATTTCACTTACGTGTGGAGTCTAAAAAACAAAACAAATGGATAAACAAACAAAATGCAGAATCAGACCCATAAATATGGAAAACAAACTGATGGTTGCTAGAGGGAAGGGGGGGTGGGTGGATGGGCAAAATGGGTGAAGGAGAGTGGGAGATACAGGCTTCCACTTAGGTAATAAGTCGTGGGAATAAAAAGCACAGCATAGGGAATATAGTCCGTGATATTAGAAAAGCATTGTATGGTGACAGATGGTAGCTACATTTGTGGCGAGAATAGCGTAACTATAGAAAAGTTGAATCACTGTTGTACACCTAAACTTACGAAACATTGTGTGTCCACTATACTCTAATTTAAAAAGAGAACACCGTAGAGTTGCAAGTCAGTTCCCTAGAATCAAAAAGCAATCCGAAGGGGTCTCTTCTACAGTATAGAGAATCATGCATAGTTTTCCGCTGACGCACATTTTCTCCCCCTACATGATCAAACTAAAACGCAATAACTTTCCCTCTCCTGTGAGTAAAGGTAGTTCCCATGCTTGTGGTCTTTGTACCTGCTATGAGCCTTGTTTGTCAGTTTCTTCCATCCTCACAACAGCTTCATGAAGTAGGTAGTGGTGGTGTTCCCATTTTACAGATGAGCAAGTCAGGCTTCAGAAAGTTAAAGACATTGCTACTAAGTGGTAGCTTTCTGTCTCCAAAGTGTACGTAAACACACACGTGCAGCAACGTGCTAATAGTAAAAGCTATAGAAATTCTGTGTATTTTTTCTTGGTCTTTAGGTCAACATCAAACAAGGTGGATCTCAAGTGTGGCCTAGAAGAATGTGCGGTGGCATTGAACTTATTTCTAAGTAACAAATTTACAGATGCCTTAGAATTGCTTCGACCGTGGTAATTAACTGTATTTCTTTCAGATAAAATATATTTTTTTCAGATGTTTCTGATGATTCTTTCTTTGATGTCATGATTGTCAGTTAATTTATCTGCATTTCCGCCTGAATATTTCTAAACTAATTTGGTTGAGACCCTCTAATTTGGTTGGTCAGTTTTAATATCCAGTTAAGAAATCTGTCTTTTCAAATTTAATCAGTAGAAAGTTTCTGATTCTTTCTCATATTTTAATTTCTATTTGTGTTCAAATACTGTCATTGTATGTAGTTTTGTAGAGCTTCCTTTTGCTTTTTTCAGGGAAATGTTTTTTTTTTATAAAGATTTTATTTATTTATTTGAGAGAGAGAATGAGACAGAGAGAGAGCATGAGAGGGGGGAGGATCAGAGGGAGAAGCAGACTCCCTGCTGAGCAGGGAGTCCGATGTGGGACTCGATCCCGGGACTCCGGGATCATGACCTGAGCCGAAGGCAGTCGCTTAACCAACTGAGCCACCCAGGTGCCCCCAGTGAAATGTTTTTATGGATATGCCTCTAAAGCTTAAATATCATTGGAAAAAGTTTCCTTTGAAATGGGGTAAAAAGAACTAGACTATGCTAATCTCAAATGTTAAAAAGAAATTTAAAATAATAAAAAATGTTCTTAGGACTCCCTATTTATGTGATAAACAAGTTAAGCAGTTTAATTTCAGCTAATAATTACCTGTTCGTTTTTCAAATGTGGCAGCAACACCCGGGCCCAGCCCTGATACCAGCGTCACCTTGACCACAGTCCGCAGCTCTACAGTGTGCCTGGAGCTTGACAGGAATAATCTTACGTTGTGCCTTCAAACACAGTCACTTGCTTGGGTGAAGCTTAGACCTTATATAACAGTTTTTTAGAAGGTTACTTGGGCACAATAGTGGGAATCTTATTTCTTTGGTCAGTAGGGGATGTGATTTTGATCATAGACTTTCAGTCTTACTACACTCATGGTGGTGAGCATTGCATAATGTATAGAATTGCTGAATCACTATGTCATACACCCGAAATGTATGTCAACTGCACACCACAATTAAAAAAAAATTACATTACCTCCTGAGAAGCTGCTGTGGTAATTCTATTTTGATGTAGCGGAGTTGTGGTCAATGAGTATTTCAGAGGTTAGGAACAGATGGTAAAATAGATGGTACAGTGCACAGCTGAAGGAAATTGTTCAGCGTTGTCTTCAGCACTTGTCTGCCCTGCCTGTCTCCTGCCTCATTTCCCTCCGTCCTTGCCAGTCCCTCAGACTTCTTTCTCTCTCCATCTTCTGTCTCTACTTCTCTGTCTTCCTCTCTCAACCTGCCTGCCTGTCTCCTTTGTGTTTTTATTCACGCAGGTCTCCTTTTTTCTCTGTCTCAGACACCCAGCTGGTCATAACATGGAATGAAAAGAAGTGATTATTTTATTTGGTCAAATTTTATATTCTCTGATCGTTATGCAAGTTTCACTGTTAAACATATGTTTTTCCCACCTGAATCGTTTTCCTCTTGGAGCTTTTGGTTTAAAATGTGAGGTTTAAAACCACAATAAATGATTAACTTTAGGCTGATCTTAACTCCTTGCAGGGTTTTTTTGAACAGCCAGTGACCTCACTAGTCAGGACAAACTGCGAATTACCAAAGGATGTTTAGACTATTTCCAATGGGGGAAAAGAATAATGTGGCCAGCATTTGTTTTGCATAGCCGTGGGCTGTTGTGCATTATATTTGAATTAAAAACAAAATCATGCATTAATATTTTAAATCTTATAACAGATTGACCTAATGAGAAGTTTTGAGAAAGAAATGGTGAGGTTTTCACAGCCCGAAAGTCTGGGATGTGCCATACATTAAGACTAATTAATGCCCTTAAGAATCCAAGCAATTCTCAGGGCGCCTGGGTGGCTCAGTTGGTGAAGACTCTGCCTTCAGCTCAGGTCATGATCCCGGAGTCCCGGGATCAAGCCCCATGTCAGGCTCCCTGCTCGGTGGGGAGTCTGCTTCTCCCTCTGCCCCTCACCCCCCCTCGTGCTCTCTCGCTCTCTCAAATAAGTAAATAAAATCTTAAAAAAAAAAAAAATCCAAGCAATTCTCAAATGATAATTTAGTAATTGGAATTATCAAGAACTTTAATAAGGAATTGTAGATAATGGGATTAGATTAGATATGAGCTCTAAAATGTACTTTGCCTGGGCCCATTGTGGCTCACCTAATTTATTGCAAAAATCTTGCTTTTCTTTGGCCTCTGGCTGGGAATGGAAAGGAGCTTTTTTTTTTTTTTTTAAATGAGTATCTGAAAATACATCAAAATCTCTCTGTCACAGAATGCATTTCCAGTGGCCTTTATTTTAGTACTTATATCAGAGCTAAAGATAGTAAGTATATTGCCTGGTGTTCAACTGGGAAAAATTGGTTTGCTTTGAAATGTTTTCAAGGAAAAGAATCCGCAGGCTGCCCCCTTGTGCTGAAACAGGGCAAAACAATTGTCGGCTTCTGCTTTAACCTGGAACATTCTCTGCTGCCTCTGTAGGCTTAATTTGGAAAGTCCTTAATACTTGAGTTTTTTAGGACATGCCTTTCTCAGTCTATATTATTTCAGTGATCATGGTGTAGGAGTAAAAGTTATCACTATCAAAGTCACGATATGCATTTACTAGGATTTCTCTTGATTAGTATCAGACAAGATGTGCATGATTTAAGTTGAGTTGGGATGTATTAATTCCCTGTGTTTTGCCCCCAGGGCTAAGGAGAGTATGTACCATGCCTTGGGCTACAGTACTATTGTGGTGTTGCAGGCGGTCATGACCTTCGAGCAACAGGACATCCAAAACGGCATTTCTGCCATGAAGGACGCATTACAAACCTGCCAAAAGTATGAACTGAGTAATTAAATACTTGAGATACAACTACAAACCTTTATGTCTGTGTGACAAAGTGAGTGTGGTTTGCCTGATGGAGAGAGCTCTGTTTGAGGTTCGCCCCAATTGTAGTAAGGGGCTTGTACTTCAAAGCTTCCTAGCCTCACATAGTTCTATGTAATAGAGTTAAAATTTCCTGTTAGGAATTATAGCTGATTCTTGTTTGGCCAAACACTTGGCATCTATACCTCTACCTTTTTCTTTTTCCTTTCTTTTCTTTCCCTCTCTCCCTCCCTCCTTCCCTCCCTTCCTTCCTTTCTTCCTTCCCTCCCTCCCTCCCTCCCTCCTTCCTTCCTTCCTTCCTTCCTTCCTTCCTTCCTTCCGTCCGTAGCTTGAGCCACAGAGAAGAACTGAGGGAGATGTCTGTGGGGTCAGCAGCATGCATTTCTCAAGGGTCTCCCTGGGGTGGATGATTTCAGCTACTGCCTGCCACGCGAGGCCAAGCAAGGAACACTCTTCTTTTATGTGGGAGATGCTGCCTATTCAGAAGGGAGAGCTGTATTTGTCTAAAAGGACATTTTTGAACACTTCTGGTTGGTGAAAATGAGACGGATTTTCAGTTTTATTTTAATCTTTGCTCTGTGTGTATAGCAAGACCCCAGCAACAGCTGTTAACTAGCATTGGTGAAGTTTAACATGAAACTATGTATCCTCATGTAATTATGTTGCAACCCTACAAATGAAGAGAGTTTCTAAATGCTGCCCTCTAAGTGATTCCTAATCTGTGCATGCCTCTTACCCCAGAAATATCAATTTCAGCCGTACAGGTAAGGGCAGGGTGCTTGGCAGGGTTAGCTGCCATTCGTTGTTTTGTGTGGGTTTGTCCACATGTGTCCAGTAAGCACGGATGGAGTGCCCACAGGATGCCAGCCCAGTGCTGAGCGCTGGGTGTGCGGTGTTGAAAAGGATGGTCTCTGCGCTACAGACTTCAGGGTTTAGAGTTTCTCCTTGGTAACTCTTTGGTGTGACTGTGACAAAAATGAATGTCAAAGGAAAATGGGCCTGGCCTGATTTATTGTCATTTTTTCTTTCTATTTCCCATCTCCCCTTCTGCTTATTCTCCACAGATACAGGAAAAAATGCACGGTTGTAGAATCTTTCTCAAGTCTTCTTTCTAGAGGATCACTGGAACAGCTGACTGAAGGTGAGACTCATTTAAAGATGAAGTTTTTCCTGTCTTTGAAAATTAAAACATGATCATACTCATAAAATTCAGTACTTAAGTGTAGAATAAAAAGGAAATGGAAAATCTTTTTCTCTTTCCCATCATACTCACCCTGCAGAAGTAATCACTGGCAATAGTTGGGTTAATGGCCCAAGATTCCCCACGTAGCAGAGCGGGATTCAAAGCTGATCGGCCTATCTGTAAGCCACAGTTCTTTCCACTGTACCCCACACTTTCTCTGATAGGCTTGTAGAAAAGGGAACAAAGTGTTCACATATGGATGAGGGAAATGTTGAATCATTCCTATGTAGACATCTTGAAAGTAGATGGTGCTGCGTTCTTATCTTTTTATAATGTTTTTGTACATGGCTCTTTAGAAAATCTGGAATAATGTACTTATTTGCTTATTACTAATTATTAAAAAAGAAAACAAACAATGAGATACTGCTGTACACCTACTAGAATGTCCATAATCTAAAATACCGACAACACCAAATGTTGGCAAAGATGTAGAGTAAAAGGAACTCTTATTCATGGCTGGTGGGAATGCAAAATTGTACAGCTACTTTGGGAGATAGTTTGGCAATTTCTTACAAAAGTAAACATACTTTGACCATAAATCCAGCAATCAGTCTCCTTAATATTTACCCAAAGGAGCTGAAAACTTATGTCTGCATGTGGATGTTTACAGCAGCTTTATTTATGATTGCCAAAACTTGTAAGCAACCAAGATATCCTTCAATAGGTGAATCGATAAATAAACTGTGGTACATCCAGACAAATGGAATATTATTTAGTGCTAAAAAGAAATGAACTCTCAAGCCATGAAAAGACATGGAGTGACTTTAAATGTATATTACTGAGTGAAAGACACCAATCTGAAAAGGTGTCCTGCTGTATGATTCCAAGCATATGACATTCTGGAAAGAGCAAAACTGTGGGGATGGTGACAAGATCAGTGATTGCCGAGGGATGGGGTGTAGGGATGAATAGGTGGAGCACAGAGGATTTTTAGGATAGTGAAAAAACTTTGTATGATATCATAATGATGGATACATGTCTTTATACATTTGTCCACACCCATAGAACGTACATCACCAAGAAGGAACTGTAACATAAACTATGGACATTGGGTGATTATGTGTCAACAGAAGTTCATCAGTTCATCAGGGGGAGGTTAAGCATGCATGGGGCAAGGGATACATGGGCAATTTCTGTACCTTCTCCTCAATTTTGCTGCCAAACTAAAACTGCCTTAAAAATAGTCTTAATTAGAAAACAGTAAACATAAAATTAGCTTGTGACAATAGCATATTCTGAAAAACAGGCTTATTTAGACTTTTACATCCAAAGGCATGCTTAGCTAACATTTTAGCGCAGGGTGAAGTTATTTCCTTTAGTAGACTAAGGAATTTATAATTAAGAGATGTTCTGGTAAGGTATCTATTCAAAAATGCCAAATGGTTAATTTTGAGAACTGGGGAACTGTCCCATATAAATCAACCAGAGTGAAGGAATACGACTTTTATAAATTAAGTTGCATTTTATTTCTAATGAGTTTGGCTGTCACTGCAACCCAAACAGACTTTATGTTCAAGGGTGCATGTCAAAACATTGTAGCTTTAGTATGTGATTTGTTTTTCCTCTTGGTAATTTTCATTTACATCCTTTAGTGGCTGGTTGTCTGCAGGAGTCAGTATATTTAATTAAACTTTTTTTTTTCAAAGATTTTATTTATTTATTTGAGACAGAGAGAATGAGAGACAGAGAGCATGAGAGGGAGGAGGGTCAGAGGGAGAAGCAGACTCCCTGCCGAGCAGGGAGCCCGATGCGGGACTCGATCCTGGGACTCCAGGATCATGACCTGAGCCAAAGGCAGTCGCTTAACCAACTGAGCCACCCAGGTGCCCTAATTAAACTTTTTGTGGGTTTAACATGGAACACACCCTTTCTTCTCTCGGGGCTGGCATATTGCCCTGAATGGTTTTCTAATTTCCTTTAAAAGCAGATGTGTAAATGCAATACTTAGGATGTGAAAGGGATTTAACATGAAGGATGCTTACATATGGTATACAGAGTTCAAATTTTCTTGCCGTTTATCTCTGCCTTCTTGTCACGTCCTTCAGCTGTTCTGTGGTGTGTTCATCTTTAACTTAACCCTGATGCAGCCATTCCTTCTGCTCAGACCTCTGCACAGACTCAGAAGGACCGAGACCCTGGCTGATGACGGCCGCCAGGATGTGCACAGGCCCTGACTCCGCAAGGCTGACCCCATCTGTAGGCAGGCTGCTGAAGGCCCTGATTCCGCAAGGCTGGCCCCCTCTGTAGGCAGGCTGCTGAAGGCCCTGACTCTGCAAGGCTGGCCCCATCTGTAGGCAGGCCGCTGAAGGATCTTCACCGCCTAGTTGCTTCTTTGTAAATTCAGCCTTTGGCATATGAGCGTGGTAGTGATTGGAACCAGTTTGTGAGAACCAGCCTGTTGTGTGTCGGATGGCAGGGATAGGGGATGGGGTCTGTGTGTGTGAATGCAAGAAATACAGCGCTAGTCCTTATCCACTTTGACCCAACAGCATTCTCACAAACACAGAAGGACCCTATTTTTCAGCTACTTACTTCACATAAAAATGTCCTGCTTTCTGAGCTTTTACCAAAAAGCCCAATGTGGACCAAGGGCAATAATCGTACCGAAAGTAGCTAACAAAAATCCAGTGCTTACTCTCCACAGTGAGCTCTGTGCAGCACGTCATTTGATTCTTTAGCTGTGAAGTGAAGATGTTACTAGCTGGACTTTATAAATGAGGTGGCCAGCAGCAGAGAGAGGTGGATACCCACAACATGGCAGAACCTTTCCTCCAACCCAGGCTGTTAAATCCCCCAAGCTCATTTACTTAAATAAAATGCCAGTTTGCATCCCATGGGTAAAACAGGAATCTGCTGATTTTGTTTATGCAAAAATGCAAAGGTTTCCCTCCCACCCCAATCTCTGCAAGTGTAAGGTATTGTTTAGAAAGACAGGCCATGTGTTTTGGGGCATTCCGTATGTCCCTGGGATATACATAGCTTTACAGAGTCCCTTTTGTGAGTGCCTTGTTCCTGTGCTAGATAGCTCAGTGATCAAAATAGCCTGAAATTGTGCTAGTGTGAGCTCTTTTTATATCATGTCTTCTATGTGTGAGGAGTCATGCCTTGGGCGTGCTGGTCCATACTTGTTCACAGACCTCAGAGAATTGCTGCTTTCTCTTTAAGTTAATGGGGTGTCTAATCATTGCCATGATTTTCATACCTTCATATTTTAGAAGCTAGAATTCATAAATTTAAGATAGTTTTTTCAATCTCTATAACTGTGTTAAACTTACGTGTTACTGTTAAGTTAAAAAATATTTTTTTTAAGTACTTTTAAATTTTGGTTTCCTCTTGTGAGCTGAGTTTAGGTCTCTGGCGCTAAGTACCTGACTCTTTGCAGTTACATTTGAATGGGGCCAAAGATGACTTCCTTAAATCCTTTTACACATTCTAGGGAAATCTTGCCGAGGGACAGAGAACCGAGGTCATCATTCTGCTTTTATGGAAGTACCAAAGCAACCTAGATTTTTGTGTCTCTCTTGGGTTCTTTGAGCTACGAGTCTTTCCTGAACATCTCAGAGCAATTACTGTGGACATAGGATTTTCCTTAATGTAATTTTATTTGTTTTTAATAGAGGAAATGCATGCCGAAATCTGTTATGCCGAGTGTCTCCTACAGAAAGCAGCACTCACGTTTGTGCAGGTAATAAATGTTTGGCTTCGAATCAGTATGCCGGGGAAGCCTGCCAGTACTACACAGAAAAAATGGGGCTCATTCTATGTCAGTGCTTCAGTTCTTTTGACTTAGACTTGTAATGGAAGATACTTGTTGTTCTGATAAACTTTGACTGAAAAATGACCCCAGGGAGCTTTGTTCCTACTCAAATGCACTTGGAGTCTGTTCCAAATTTCAGTCTGTTGGGAACCACTGTCTTATAAAGGAACTGTTTTGCAACTACTGCACCGAATTTCTGGATGCTTCTCTGTATGAGAAGAGTGGGATTATCCCTCTTTGCATTTGCTAATGGTAGAGGGCTATAGGCCCCGGGCCAAAGAGGCATTTTCATCCTTGGCCATTCCCTTCTTACACCAGATGCTTCAGCAAAGCTCAGGTATGCATGCTTGAGTGCCAGGCTTTTCATATATACTTCAAATTTTATTTTTGCCCCTCTTTCTATTCTCATGCCCCTTTCTTGCTTTTATTTCTTCCTTTGGAAGAGCAGATTTAAAAAGTCATTAAACCAAGCCATGAATACCTTTCTTTAAGGGACATTTTAACTTTACCTCTAGGAACTGTTACAACCAGTGCCTTGCCTAACATTGTATCTTCCAATCCTTCTAAAAAACATGGATTTTAACGTCATGGCCCCATGGGTGGCGGTGATGGATACATTGGGGGTAGAGGTAGAGTCAGGATTGTAAGGGAGCAGAAATGCAATTGTAAAATTGAAAATCTTCCTCAATCACAATGTTTTACATTGTATTAAGAGTTGCTTTCCTTTTTTTTTTTTTTTTTCCCCTGGAGATTGACTTCTTAGGTTGGATTCTGGTTTAGTAAAATTGAACCACTCTGGTCTATGACCCTGTTTCCTAAAACCCTATGTATTATGAAGTCTGGTTGAAAACCTCATTCTTACTGCCTCAGGAAACATAATGCCAGTCATGGAGGCCCTCCAGTTTTTCTGATGTGTTTTCCAAATGGGGATTTGACAAATCTGGGATTTAAAGTCTTATGTTGTATGTGGAGACTTGTAATTAAACATCTGGGAGATATCCAAGACTCCTCCCTCTTCCTCATGCCTCCATATCCAATTTAATGCTCATGTTTCTTTTACCTTGTGAAGATTTAGCAGTGCCATCTCTTCCTTCTTGAGTGTTTTCATGGGGGTGTTTATCAGCTCTTCTCTAGAGGGCACAGCGACCTAGTGACCCTCTGGCTCTATTTCTCTTAACCTCCAGCTCATTGTCCATTGTGCAGCTGAGCGCCCTCTCAGGGATGAGACTATCACCTTGTCATTGCTCTGCTTTAGCTTTGAGTCGCTCTCACGGACTATGGCAGTGGTCCCGTATCAGAATATCAGCAAGGGGTGGGGGGGAGGCTTTTTCAAACTAAACTGGTATCTTCTCCCACATTCCCTCCTCCCCTCTTACCCCACGGGAAGAGGTAGCTTTCTTACTCCTTTGTTCTATCTTTGTGGGAGCTTCTGTGGCAGCGCTGACTTATGTAAGCACAGATGGCCAAGCATGCCATGATCGTTAATGCTTCCTTGCCTTTCCTTCCGCTTGAGTATTCCCTGGCTCGCAAGGTTCGCATCTGCTTTGCCTTCCTTCATCTGGCCACTTCCTAATCATTTTTTGTGCCTTAAGCCCCGATGCTTCCAGGAAGCTTCTGTGGACCTCTCCATGTCACCCCCTCCCCTGCTCTGAGCTCTCCTGACCTCCTGTGCATATCTCCTTCTGTGTGCATGACTCCAGCCCTTAGCACCTTGATTTGCTTTTGTCTGATGTTGCATTCAGATGCCTGGTGTAAAATAGGCATTCGGTAAATATTTGGTGAATCATGAAACGAAATATTATTATTTGAGGCAGATTTTAATGTGATTTTGGAAATTCTTTCCTGGCCAATCTTGAAACTTGTGTAATCATAAGATTCCTTAAATAAGAAGATAAACATTTAAGTTGTGTAGTGAATTTTGTATTTATTGATTCTTAGAATAATTTAAATGGTAAAGATTTAATACTTAATGAAATTTGTAAGCTAAAGTAAATTTTCCTCTTGCTTTAGAAGGATGCTGAAGTGCACAGGAAATAAATACCAGAGCATCTCTCCATTATCAATAGACTAGAAAAATATTCTCCTTGGAAATATGAAATACGGGACTGTCTCCATTAACACTGTTAGATTAACTTCTTTTAAGCAGGTTTTGATATAATTTCTTAAGAGATTCTCGTGGAATCCTAGAATGCTGACCCTGAAAATGATATTCATTTAGGCCCTCTGCCTCAACTTTGTGGTTGATGACCATCGGGCAAAGAAAAGTGAAATGATTTTTTTTTCCTCCAAAACAAAACTGCATATTGTGACAATCAGTTTAGAATCCAGATCAATAATTTTTGTTCTAGAAATGTATATGAGTGAAATTTACAGTGTTAAATAGACTGAATGCTAAAGTACCCTGCAAAAGAAGAACCGTCATCCCATTTGCTGGAGTGTGATGGACTGGAAAGTCCTTAGAGCACATCCTTAAATCACCCATTTTAGATTCTGTTGAACCCAGAAGAAAATTGCGCATTAGATGATGTTTATCACAGTAGATTTGGACTAACATATTTGGTCACTAAGTGGGTTACTTCCTTAATTACTTGCTTGAAGTAATGCAAAGATTTTTTAAATGTGTTCTTTTTATTGCCATCTAAGTTGGAAGGAAAATTACAGAAAAGCATTTCAAATGTAAAGCAAGAAGAATGTTTTAATTTAAAAATTATGTCCTCAAAAGATAGTGTTTTGTTCTAATCACACAAATATATAACTGTATAGTGTAAGAATCTTTTGCTAAGTGATCTAATTATTTAACTGAATTGTTTTCAGGATGAAAATATGATCAACTTCATCAAAGGTGGACTCAAAATTAGGACAAGTTACCAAATATATAAGTAAGTTAAAATTAAGATGTTGTTTTTAAATGATTCTTGTATTCTGTCCAGTTTGTACTTCAAAATTCTCATGAAGTATGACTAGGTTTTATTTGCTGTTGGTAAAAATGCACTTGATTTTTTGGCTTACTGTGTATGTATTCAGTGCTATAGGACAACAGAATTTAAGTTTAAATGCAATCTTGAAAAAAATAGCTGAAAAAAAGCTACTGACATAATTTCTAATTACATAATCTTAGTTTCTCTCTCCTAAAATCAATTTATAAATTTAAAATTATAGCTATGTCTTTGGTCCAGACTCTAGAGCAGTACTGCTCGATAGAATTTTCTGCAGTGATTCAAAGGTGGACCATTGTGTTGTCCGTATCTTCTATATCCTTATTGATTTTTATCTAGTTGCTCTATCATTTGCTCACAGAGTTCAAAATCTCCAACTTTGATTCTGGGATCACCCATTTCTCTCTCTTTAGTTCTGTCAGTGTTTGCATTGTATATTTAGAGCCTCTGTTATTAGGTTTATATATATTTTAATTATTTTATCTTCCTAATGAATTAACCTTTTTATCATTATGAAATGTCTCTACTTAACTCTTATAATAAATATTTGTCTTGAAGTCTGTTTTGTCTGATATTAATATAGCTACTCATGCGTTTTTATAATTAGTGGTAAGTGTAGCATGACATATATTCTTACACTTTAAACCTATCTTTGTTTTTATATTTTAATTGCAGTTCTTATAGATGCATATAGTTGGGTCTTGCTTTTTTATTCAGTATAACAAACAAATATGTTTGCACTTGCGGCTACCATTTTTCTTGTTCTCTTGCCTCATTTAGTTTTCTCACTTCTTTTTGCCTTTTATTGCATTACTAAAATTTAAAATATATATATATATTCCAGTGTAATCAATCCCTATTGTTTTCTAAGCTTACCTCTTTAATTTTTTTAAAGGTCACTCTAGTGATTATAATATCCTTCTTAACTTACCACAGTCAACTTAGAGTTAATATTGTACTATTGCCCATGAAATGTAAGAACTTTGTGAAAATATAGTTTCATTGACCACTTGTCTTTTATACTATTCTTATGATAGTACACTTACATATATTATAAGCCCCACAATGCAGTGTCAGATTTTTTTTCATAAAGACTTATTTATTTGAGAGAGAGCGAGAGCATGTGTGGTGCACCCAAGCATGTGGGGAGGGGCAGAGGGAGAGAATCTTCAAGCAGACTCCCCCCGAGCACAGAGCCCAACTTGGGGCTCAGTCTCATGACCCATGAGATCACTACTTGAGCCAAAACCAAGAGTCGGACACTTGACCAACTGAACCACCCAGTCGCCACAACAATAGGACTGTGGCTTTCTGTATCAGTTCTAGGCATCCCACATTGAGTGGATTCGAGAGTACTTTCAGCTGACTAGCCATGTAAATGTAAAGTCCGTGTGAGAGATGTTCCCATCTTTCAAAGTTCAGCTGTTCTCCAGTTTCTTACTACTTTTTGGTTTCACTTTCCAGTGCCTGAAAATGCATTTTAAATATATATTTAAATTCCAAAGTTCTAATTGTTATCTGTGGGAAGGTTAATCTAATATAAGCTAGTATGTGTGTCATTATTAGACGCAGATCCCCGTTAGTGAGAGCAGAACCAAGATTTAGTATTTTTTTTTAAAAGATTTTATTTATTTATTTGAGACAGAGAGAATGAGAGAGAGAGAGAGCACATGAGAGGGGGGAGGGTCAGAGGGAGAAGCAGGCTCCCTGCCAAGCAGGGAGCCTGATGTGGGACTCGATCCAGGGACTCCAGGATCATGACCTGAGCCGAAGGCAGTCGCTTAGCCAACTGAGCCACCCAGGCGCCCCAAGATTTAGTATTTTAAGAGATAGTTTTACCCAAAGTGATTTCATAAAATTGTATTCCATTCAAAATCATGGAGGTAGGGGGGAGTTTTGGGAAATTGACCAATTGTTTTTAGTTTTTCTCTTGAAATACTTTTTTTTTTTTTAAAGGTTTTTTTTTTTCTTTTTCTTTTATTTGACAGAGAGAGAGAGAGAGAGAGAGCACACACACAAGCAGAGGGTGCAGGAGAGGGAGAAGCAGGCTCCCTGCTGAGCAAGGAGCCCAATGCAGGGCTCAATCCCAGGACCCTGGGATCATGACCTGAGCCAAAGGCAGACGCTTAACTGGCTGAGCCACCCAGGTGCCCTTCTTGAAATACTTTTTAGATGCTATGGATGCCTGGGTGGCTTAGTCGGTTAAGTATCTGCCTTCGGCTCTGGTCGTGATCACAGGGTGCTGGGATCGAGTCCAGCATTGGGCTCCCTGCTCCGTGGCAAACCTGCTTCTCCCTCTGCCTCTGCTTCCCTCTATCTCTCTCTCTCCCTCTCTCTCTGTCTCTCATGAATAAATAAATAAAATCTTTGAGAAAAAAAAGAAATACTTTTAGATGATATAAAAGGATGTTAAAGAGCTAATTGCTTTTCTGGTCATCAAAACTTAAAAACTGGAATGAATTCAAGTAGTCTTAAAATGGCACAAACCTATCAGTGTGTGCACGCATGTACTTTTGTACATACAGACAGACATTTACTTGGGAATTAAAAATATGTGAAATTCCTGTGTATACATAGGTCTCTTTCAAAATAGTGGGAAAAAATGGATACTTTTTGGGAAAATTGGTTCTTCATTCTGGAAAAAGAAAGCATGAAAATAAATTCCATGTATATTTAATATTAAAAATTTTTTTAAGGGTGCCTGGGTAGCTCAGTTGGTTAAGCGACTGCCTTCAGCTCGGGTCATGATCCTGGAGTCCCAGGATCGAGTCCCACATCAGGCTCCCTGCTCAGCAGAGAGTCTGCTTCTCCCTCTGACCCTCACCCCTCTCATGCTCTCTCTCATTCTCTCTTTCTCATTTATTTATGTGAGAGAGAGAGAGCACACGTGAGCAGGAGGGGTAGAGGGAGGAGGAGAGAGAGAGAGAGAATCTCCAGCAGACTGTGCTGAGCGGAGCCCAACACAGGGCTCAGTCTCACAACCCTGAGATCACGACCTGAGTTGAAACCAGGAGTTGGATGCTTAACTGACTGAGCCACCCAGGCTTCTCTAATATTAAAATATTTTTCAAAGGGTAGTAGTGAAAACATAAGGAAAATATTTTTTATGGTCTAAAGCACAAAAGCCTTTAAACTTTTATTTAAAATTTTTTCACTTTGAAATAACTTCAGGATTTTTACAAAGAATTTTTATATATTCTTCATCCAGAGTCACAAATGTTAACATCTTATAGAACCACAGTAATAATTATTAAAACCAAGAAACTAACATTGATATGGTATTATCAATTACTCCACTGATTTTACTCTGATTTCTCTAATTGTCCCACTAATGTCCTTTTTCTGGCCCAGAATTGAATCCAGGGTTGGGGATGTTACATTTAGTTGTTATGTTTCTTTTTAAATCTGGAAGTGTCCCTCACTCAGTCTTTCTTTATTTTTATAATCTTGACATTTTTGAAGTATACTGGGCAGTTACTTTGTAGAATGTCTCTCAGTAGGGACTAATCTAATGTTTCTTCATGATTACATCCAGATTTTGCATCTATGGCAAGAATACCATACAAGTGATATTGTGTCTTTCCATAGTGTATCGTATCATTAGATATATGGTGTCAATTTCAGAAGCCTTTTTGAGTGTGACATAAAATCAGGAACCGTAAAAGACTGACTTGACCAAATAAACATTTCAGTTTTCGTCAGGGCAAAATATACCATAATAAAAAATACAAATGGAAATGTGCTACAAATGATTCAGGGAAAATGACAGTGTGAGGACCTCATAAGTTGGTGGGAATCTAAATTGATAGAGTATTCCTGAAGGATGATCCGACAGTATGTATCAAAATTAAGAAAGTGTACCACCTTTGATCTCAGAAGTCCCTTTTCTAGGAATTTATCCTAAGGATAGTTGTGATAGATTAACTATAATTACAGTACTTGATGTAGGAAAAGTACTTGATGAATGTACAAGCACACTTTTAGCAAAATTGTTTATAATATGGAAAATTTGGAAACAATGTACATATTTAACAATGGAATTTGGTTAAATAAATTATTCCATAGAATAAGATAATATGCACTTGTTAAAAATAAGGTAGCTCTCATGCATTTTCATGGAAAAATCATCAATATAACTTATAGGACAGTATATACTATATGATCCCATTTGTGGTTTTTAAAGATTGGATTCTTACTAAAGCATAAAACCACCTAGAAGGTTATGTACTGGGTGTTAACAGTGACCATCTCTCTGTGGGATAGTCATGCAGGGGCACTTAACGCTGTCTCCATGTTATTTGAAAATTTTGTAACAATCATCTATTATCAGAAAATAGAACATTTATCACCCAGCCACCCCATCCCTCCCATCCCCCCACCACTCCAGCAACCCTCAGTTTGTTTCCTGAGATTAAGAATTCCTCATATCGGTGAGGTCATATTGAATCACAGACCTGTACCTCTGAAACAAATAATACATTATATGTTAAAAAAAAAAAAAAGAAGAAGATAGCAGGAGGGGAAGAATTAAGAGGGGGAAATCAGAGGGGGAGATGAACCATGAGAGACTATGGACTCTGAGAAACAAACTGAGGGTTCTAGAGGGGAGGGGGGTGGGAGAATGGGTTAGCCTGGTGCTGGGTATTAAAGAGGGCACGTTCTGCATGGAGCACCGGGTGTTATACGCAAACAATGAATCATGGAACACGACATCAAAAACAAATGATGTAATGTATGGTGATTAACATAGCATAATAATAAAAAAATAGAGCATTTATATTTTGATTAAAAAAGAAAAGAATTCTGAAAATCATTTCTACCTCCTGCCATCCTATTGATATTTTCATGTTTGCATTCTTAATGCATGCATATGAGCATATATAATTATCTTTTTATGTAATAAAATCATATACTTCATGTCATTTTGAAATTTCCTTTTTCACTTCATGTCACAAAAATTTAGGTCATTAAATGTTTTTAGTTGATCATGGATTTTAATGGCTACATAGCATTCTATTATGTGGGTATGCCACACGTGTGTATGTATAAATATATGCACTCATGTGACTCTCTTCTTAATTTCCCGTTGTTGCCTATTTAGTTTGTTTATACATTTTCATTATAAATAGTAATACAGTATCTCTCCTTACAGGTAAGTTTTGTGTTTATCCATGCTAGTTCCTTAGAATAGAATTGGATTTATTGGGTCAAAAGTACACCTGTGTTTAAGATTTTTGATATATATTGCAAAATTATTCTGAAAAATAATTGGGTTGGCAAACTTTTTCTTTTCTTTTCTTTTTTTTAAAGATTTTATTTATTTATTTGAGACAGAGAAAATGAGAGAGAGAGAGAGAACACATGAGAGGGGGGAGGGTCAGAGGGAGAAGCATGCTCCCTGCCGAGCAGAGAACCCGATGCGGGACTCGATCCAGGGACTCCAGGATCATGACCTGAGCCGAAGGCAGTCGCTTAACCAACTGAGCCAACCAGGCACCCGGCAAACTTTTTCTTAAAGGGCTAGATGGTAAATATGTTTGGCCTGTGGGTCATAAGATCTCTGTTGCAACTACTCAACTCTATGTGGAGTATAAATAGCCATAGACAATAAATGAATGAATGAGCACGCTTATGTCCCCATAGTTTGCCAATCTCCATACTATAACTACCTTTTACCAAAGTAGATGAATATGTCTATTTGTTCTTTCCTTTGCCAGCACTGGTTTTCCATTAAAAAAATTAAAATAATGCTTTATTGGGATGCCTGAGTGGCTTAGTTGGTTAAGCGTCTGCCTTCGGCTCAGGTCATGATCCCAGGGTCCTGGGATCGAGTCCCACATCGGGCTCCTTGCTCAGCAAGGAGCCTGCTTCTCCCTCTGCCTGCCTCTGTCTCTCTCTCTCTCTGATAAATAAATAAAATCTTAAAAAAATATATATATATTTTAAAATAATGCTTTATTATCACAAAAGTGGCATATATATTTAGGAATGTAGGTGAGCAGCTATTAACATATGCACTCCATATTCTTTTCACACAGTGATAATGGCTGCTAAACCTTAGTATATATTATTTCAGAATATTTTCTATCCAAATCTAAAGATATATGTACTTTTTAATGTGCATTCTCTTTTGTAACCTGCTTTTTTCAATTAATGTTCTTTACTTTTCCATGTCAGTAAATCTTCATTTCATGTAATACTCAGTCTATCTTCACGTTCTCCTGGTTGGCCCCAAATTTCTCTTACTGCTGGTATGTCTATACCAGGATGCAACACAAGACTGTCTCCTGCATCCCCTGTTTATGTCCATTTCATATCTTTTATTCTAGAACAGTCTCTATATTCATGATGGTTGTTGAAAAGCCTAAGCCAGTTGTCCTGTAGAATATCCCATGGATTTGTTTGATGGCTTTCTTGAGTTTTCATTTAGCTTGTTCTTTGTCTTAGTTAGTTCAAGCTGCCGTAACAGAATACTACAGACAGGGTGGCTTAAAGGACAGAATTTTATTTTCTCACCCTTCCTGAGGTTGGAAGTCTAAGATAGGGTATCAGCATGATCAGCTTCTGGAGAGAGCTCTCTTTCAGGCTTGCAGACAGGTAACTACCTTCTCACTCAGCCCTTATAGGGCCAAGAGAGAGATATTCTCTCTCTCTTTCTCTTCTGAGATCACCCGTCTTTTCAGATTAGGACCCTACCCTTAATTACCTCCTAAAAATCCCTATCTTCATATATCTGCACACTGGGGCTTAGAGCTTCAACATATGGATTTGGAGGGGAGCATAATTAATTCAGTCCATAGCATTCTTCTAGCGCCCAATATTTCCTATAAGCTGGCAATTAGATCTGTAGGCTTACTGGATTCAGGTTAAATAAATTTGGCTAGAATACATCATAAATGAAGTTGTACGTTTTATAATTATATTACAAAAGGTGATACATAATAATCTGGTTATTTCTTACTGCCTTTAAAATATATATTTGTCAATTTGGTAAGCAATTCCTGTTCGTTACCAAGTTTTACATCTTTGTCATTGTTTTAATTTGCATTTCTCTGATTAAGTATTTGCCTTTTGAAGATGTGAAGGGAAGGGGGGAAATGCACAGAAAAGAAATTAAAATGAGAAATCGGAAAGATTTGCTTGGATGGAATAGGAAAAAGAAAGACAAATGGTGCAGTTTGATGGAATTTGCTGTCCTCTTTCAGTCTTTCCTACTTGCAAGCTCTAATTTATTTGGTCTATTTGAGATCATGGCCATCCCACTGAAATTCACATCTTTTTGGCAGTAGCTCCTCAGATACTTGGTGGAAGGTAGGGTTGCTCAAGCGTGCACAGCAACCAAGAGACGGAGCACTCCTGGGAAGTCTTCTATGAGACTTTGCTGGAAAGCTGTGAGGTCACAGTCCTGTGGTCCTGGGGCTCTGGAGTCCTGCATGCTGATGTTCGAACCCTGTCTCGTTTCAGCCCAGAAAGACTGGTCCTGATAAACCGGGCAGAAATGGGTGTGTCAGTTTTTCCTTAATGACTATTACCTGAGTCGCCTTTAAGGTTAAACTCAGCACAGCTGCCTCCATTGAAAAATCCTCTAGCATTTTGGCTAATGACATTTATCTTACAGCGTGTCAGTGTGAAATTTGACTTCACATTAATTTTCAGAGCCATAGTAAAACTTATGCAATAACTTTTTTCTTCAATCCAGAGAATGTCTTTCTATCCTGCATGTAATTCAGAAGAACAAAGTTGAACAGCAGTTCTTCTATGAGTTTGAAGGGGGTGTCAAGCTTGGAATAGGTGCCTTTAACTTGGTAAGTAAATAATTGTAAAGCTGCCAGAAGCTTTTTTAAAAGAACCTAAGGTTTCCAGTGCCTTCTCTACTGTGCGTGAACCTCTACCTGGGTTTGGTTGACAAGTCGCTAGAGAGGGATCAGTTTTTTTTGTGTTGTGACCCAGTGGTGACTTTGGCTAGTGTGCGTTGTAAAGTTCTGCACATGCTCAGAGTAGGTTTGGATTGTACAAGAGGGGAAGCATGCAGCACTCTGAATGGACTAGCAACATATTTGGTAATAAGGAGCTCGGAATCCAGTTCCATTTCCACATCAGAAATATTGTTGCTTTAGCAATGGAGGCTCTGGAATTGAAAATGGGTGAGGCAGTAGCCATATGGCTTGAGGCATGGTTTTGATGCTGTGAGGGAGATGAAGAGTTTGAATAGATATTTGTCAAATGTAATATGTTATTTAAAGATTTTGAAATTTATTAAGGTTTGACTGGAATTAATGAGAAAATGCAGTGGTCAAGGGAATAATATACATGAGTGTGTCCATCACCGTGGCCACTTAGTTCACGAGCCCAGTGGGTCAATGATAGGGGTGGCTGGGGAAAGAGGCTGGCTGGCTGTTAGAACAGGTCATCGTATTCACTTGATTATTCAAATCCTCCTCTCCTGAGGTCAGGCTTTGGTGAACATTCATATTGGACACACAAATATCTTCATGTTTTTTGCTCATTCAGAGAGGTCTGTGCTCTTCCCTAGACTTCCTTATCATTAATATTCCAATGATATTCCTTCCAAATTCCTGACCATCCAGCCAAACCATTGGCTCCAGCCGATGAATCCGTATAGAATCACACACGTGGCCATTTCTCCTTCCAAGCAAAGTGAACAAGCAGGTGACTGTTCTTGCGCTGGCTGGATTTCCCCTCCCCGCTGCTCCCCAGGGATGTTCTAGAAAGCAACTGTAGTGCCATGCTGTTCACTTTTGGGTGATGCCTGCATATTATGCAGAACTCAACAGACTTGCTTTCTGGAAAAGGATGTTAAAAGAGATCTTGTTTGGAAGTGGGCACGGAGGGATTGCCTTCTCAGCACTTAATAACTGCACATAGGAGGACCAAGTATTCTCTAGAGTGTCCTGGAAAGGCTATGGTTTTTGTTGTTGTTGTTGTGTGTTTTGTTTTTTAATTTTTTAGGTTCATTGTCTTAGCTAAATGAAATTAAGTCACAAGTAATGATTACCGTATGTGCAATATGTGATGATTGAGATAGGTATAGTGGTTCAAACTTGGTTCTAATATTTTATATTACCAAATTATTAAAACTTTAAGTTGTTTGAGGTTAATATTTATCTGTAGATAGATACACTAACAAATATACTTTTTTTTTCTTCTTGCAGATGCTCTCCCTTTTACCAGCACGGATTATCAGACTACTAGAATTTATAGGATTTTCAGGAAACAGGGTACACATTTAATTTTATCTTGATTTTGACAGGAAAGATAAAACATTATTTACTGAATAAAGGGCAGTGCAGCACATCCTCATAACCAGCATGACAATTATTGACAATTTGCAGGACAGTAAAAAGTCATTGGGGTCTTGATAGTACTTTTCAGGAGCTGAGATGGTTTTGCTCTTGAAAGCTAAACATTTTTATATTTGTTACCTAAGTTCTGGGATTAAAAATTATGTTTTACTAACATTGCTACTTGCTGGACTTTAGTACTCTTGTGTGGTTAAAATATGCTTCCTTAACCTTTTAGCAACCCCAGAGTGTTCTGTAAAACCAGGAAATTAAGCTAGATTTCCATGTCTCACGTTTTTTGTTTCCCCTGGATCAAGTATAGTTATAGTATTTTGGATTTCCTTGCACTTTTATAAGTTTCATGATAAAACTAAGCAAGGAAATTTTGTTTTTCATGAGTCTCATTCATTATATTTCTGTGTGGTTGTTTTGGTAATGTATAACATTAATTAAACCTAACACTCAATATGCTCTTACCAGGGTTGCCTTATTGCAAAAGCTGTCCCTGTTAGTGAAGAGGGCAGGTTTTGAGAACTATATGAGGACAAGTATAAGAAGCTGTTATTTTCCCCCCCAGACAGGTCCTGTGCTTTTCTGTTTTCTATGCTTCTGCTATTCTCTATTTTGGATGTCCTCCCTAGCCAGCAGCCTCCCAAATAAGTTCTCTTGAGAGCCTCTCCAACCATTAGGTTTGAGATAAATGTCAGCTATTCCTCAAACTCTCCCTTATTCTCTCCCAGTGAGGCTCAAGTATTCCTGACTCAGAATCATTTATCTTTCCTACGGCACTCACCATATTCTAATACAACCGTGTGTTCATGTAGTGTCTTACCTATTTGATGGAAAGATCTTTGAAGACAAAACTGTATTTGTTCATGACTAATAGGAGGGCATGCGATGTAATGAGCACTGGGTATTATATAAGACTGATGAATCACAGGCCTGTACCTCTGAAACCAATAAAACATTATATGTTAATTAATTGAATTTAAATAAAAAAATGTTTAAAAAAGACCCTGTATTTGTTCATACCCACCATAATGCCTTACACTTAGATCCTCAACATGTTTTAATAAATTAATATTTTTATCAGAGAAATACAACATTTCTATGAAATGAGCACTGCCTTTGTCCTCTCCGTAGAATCACACAATATGAAAGAATTTGTGAGATTATCTTACGCCAGTTTAAAATGTAAACTTTGTGGGGGTGCCTGGTGGCTCAGTGGTTGGGCTTCTGCCTTCGGCTTGGGTCATGATCCCAGGGTCCTGCGATCGAGCCCCGCATCGGGCTCCCTGCTCAGTGGGAAGCCTGCTTCTCCCTCTCCCACTCCCCCTGCTTGTGTCCCCTCTCTGGCTGTGTCTCTCTCTGTCAAATAAATAAATAAAATCTTAAAAAAATAAATAAATAAAATGTAAACTTTGTTTCTGGTCAGGCATTGCCCCTATTCTAAGCTCTTGAAAAATAAACCCCACCTTCTTGGAGGGTGGAGACATAGGAACTTGGCCTCTGTAGTATCTGAATGTGATTTTTCAATCATGTTTTCTCCTTCTGAAATGTATTTGCTTCCCACAGGAGTTGGGCCTCCTGCAGTTACAGGAAGGTGCATCCGGAAGAAGCCTGAGGTCTCCACTATGCTGCTTAACTATACTAGCTTTTCATACTTACATCTCCCTCATCCTTGGTAAGGACTGGATTACGTTTTATGTCATTGAAAATAGATTACCTTTCATCTGAGTAAGTAAAAAATTTAGATTGTACCCTCGAAACCAACATAACATTGTTTGTTATATTTCAATTAAAACAATTAGAAAAAAATCACTAAGAGCTAGTAGTCTGTATCTGTTTACTTTTTTTTTCTTTTTTGAGTAAAGATGAAAAATAGTGACATTTGTCATAGTAACATTTGGCAGAGGGGGTGGAGGGTTTCTTTCCCTGAATATTTTTTATCTGTTCTCTGCTAAAAACATTCTGTAAAATTTGTTTAAGTTGATCTGTTTTAGCATGTTCATATTAGATTTCTTTTTGAGTAGAAAATTAAATTTTTGGCTAAGTTAAGTTAATATTGCTTTTAAAACCAGAAAGCCCAATTAGGACTCAACGATAACTCCTTCCATTCTTAAGAATTAGTTGGTCCTAGAGCTTTCTTAAACTAAAGTCATGGGTGGGACTTGTCTTGCCAAATTAACAGTTCTTATCTTTTCCATGAATAGGTGTTTGCTATATTTTACTGAAATGTGGAGAAATACTGTGTATTTATATAAGACGGATTCTGATTATCAGGATTTCTAGGTCAAAGATGTTTGCATTTTGATAAATTTAGCCAAATTGACCTTCTAACTAAGGTTATTCCATTTAAACTCCTATAAAGATATGAGAATACTTGTTTCCAATGCACTTTGGCAACTCTGCACTTTATCTGTTGTATTTTTGCCCATGTCATAGCCAAAATATGATAATCTAATCTAAGTATCTACCCTCTTGTGAAGACTGAGGCTTTTCCTGTTAAATTTCTAGGTACAGGAGAAGTGAATGTTGTGGAAGCAGAGAGTCTCCTTGCACCCTTCCTCCAGCAGTTTCCAAACGTATGCTTAGAATTTCAAGTACATGTTTCAGCCATAACCAATCAGGTGGGGCTGACCACTGATCGGTCTCTCTGCTTCCTTTCTCCCCAGGGCTCCCTCATGTTGTTTTATCATGCCCGGATAGAGCTGCTGAAAGGGAATGTGGAAGAGGTAATTTATCTTGGGGGGAGTGATTTGGAGAGTTGTCTGTAAGGTGGAGTTGTGTCACACTCTTTCAACATAAGTAAATTCAGCTGTATGCACTAGACAGAAGTAAAGACAACATACGTTATTAAAACACCCCAGTTTAATTTTGTGTATGCATTTCTTTTTGTGTGTGTGTGTGTGTATGCATTTCTATATGTAGATTACTGAATACAGTCTATACTTACACATTAAGTATGTGAGGCAGCTCGGAGTAGAATATACAAAATACAAGTGGGCACCTTTAAGGGAATACAGGTTCTGTATTGCATATTGATTTTGAAATCTAGCCCCTGAATGAGATACAGCCACATTGTACTGCACATACTCCTCAGCAAAGGAAATCCTTCACTAATTCTCTTGAAGAAGACAACTGTGGAGCTTTTCCTATAAGTATACTCACAAATAGTTGTCTTCTACACAAATGAGGTCAAACATATGTATTTTTCTTTGTTTGTTTGTTTTTTTTTTTCCTACTTACAATACATCTTGGATTTCTTTCCAGGTCAGTATATCTAAATCTCCTTCATTCTTTTTGATGGCTGGATTTCATTCCATGAGATGGGTATATGATACTTAGTAAAGCAGCCCACTATTGATAGACATTTGGCTACTATAAAGTGTTGTTGTAAACATCATCATGTATATATTTCTGTGCACAGGTGTATTTATATAAGACGGATTCTGATTATCAGGATTTCTGGGTCAAAGATGTTTGCATTTTGATAAATTTAGCCAAATTGACCTTCTAACTAAGGTTATTCCATTTAAACTCCTATAAAGTTATGAGAATACTTGTTTCCAAAGCACTTTGGCAACTCTGCACATTATCTGTTGTATTTTTGCCCATGTCATAGCCAAAATATGATAATCTAATTTTTAAAAAGATTTTATTTATTTATTTTAGGGAGAGAGAGAGCGAGCATGTACATACTCGCTCAAGAGCGGGGCGGGGAGGCAGAGTGGGAGGGAGAGGGACAAGCAGACTCTGTGCTGTGCTTGGAGCCCGACGTGGGGCTTGATCTCAGGATTCTGAGATCATGACCTGAGCTGAAACCAAAAGTCAGATGTTCAACCGACTGAGCCAGGTGCCCCAAAAATCTAATTTTTAAGTTTGTATTTTTCAGTTTACAGATTTCTTCATGTGTATGTTTGTCACTTGTGTATCTTTTTCTCTGATTACCTAGTCATATCTTTGACAATTTCCCCATTGAGTTGTCTTTTTTTAAAGGATTTTATTAAATTGTTGTATGATAAGGGTTAATTTTGGCCAGTTGTGGATGTAGTGATATCTTCTCCCAGTCTGCCTTTAACTTTGTTTAAGGTGTATTTTAACTTCTGGGAGTTCTGACTTTTATTTTCAGTCCTTTGGTAAAGGACTTCTGCATTTTATATCATCCTTGGGAAGGAACTTCACTACTCCCACATATAAAGTCTCACAGCCCCCTCACGAAGCTAAATCAAGAGGCAGAACTTAATTGTATAATTGCATGTAGGGAAAGGAACATACATCATCACATTGAGTGGTTTAATGAGCGATGCTTTTGTTCTTTTTGTACAAAGTGATTTATGTATTTTTCCATTAGGTTATTGTCTCCTTGTGTAATATCTGGATGATCAGCTTTATGCAATTGACTTATAGGCACAAGAGATATTTCGAAAATGCATTTCAGTTCAAGAAGAATGGAAACAGTTTCACCATCTCTGTTACTGGGAGCTGATGTGGATTTATGTATTCCAACAAAACTGGATGGAGGCATATTATTATTCTGATCTGCTTTGCAAAGAAAGTAAATGGTCCAAGGTAAAGTGCTATGCTTTCGTTACTGTTATCTGTTTGCTAGTAAGTGTCCAGGATGATTTTTCTTTAAGACTGTTCAGAAGTATGACATCTATACTACCTTCTCCACTTAGGGATTCATCAAAGGAGGAAATAGGCATTAAGTACCTACTGCTTATAAGCACTGTCCTTAGCACTACATGCTTTAAAAGCCATCCAAACGGTCCTTTTTAACAAAGAGGTTTTACCTCTGAGGATGAAATGCACTTACATTTAAAAGTTATTCAGTATCAACAGTCTTGATAATTTTTCTGTAGATTTTATGATGCCCTGATGACAAGGCTTTTCATAATAATTAAAATTAATTCTGATCTATTTGTGAGAAGTTGGGAGAAATGAGATGATTTCTTGTTCATTCTGTGTACTTTCTTGCCCATAAACGCTACAGTTGTATAATAGGAAAATGGTCAAAATTAACTGAAAAGTGTTATTCTAAATAGGAATAGGCAGTAAAAGACTTCATTTCTTTTTATTTCTTTGGTGCCTTTTAAATGTTACATCTGGACAGTTTGTAGGTCATTCCCGACTTGCAAGATAGAAATGTCATGTACCTAGAGATGCCCTGTAACTAGCTGCTTCTCTCCTTTTCCTCAAGGCAACATATGTGTTCTTGAAAGCTGCAATTTTGAGTATGCTTCCAGAGGAGGATGTAGTAACAACTAAAGAGGATATAGTAACTTTATTCAGGTAAGCAAGGCACTATTGCTCTAATAGAGATCCTGGATACATCTTCCTTTTCTAAGTGTTCTCCCAGACTTTACCTGCATATCTTCTTTAATTTCTATTCATTCGATGCAGGAACTCTTAAAAACCACATTCAGAGAAGGTCTGTCGTGAACGAATCTGTTTAACTTTGTTTAGATCAGTGTCCATCCATCATCTGTAACCTTATTTTTGAACACCTGCTGTGTGAAGGATACCGTGTTAGGTGTTGAATAAACAGGCATGGCTTCTGTCCTTGTGGAGTTTATAATCTTGTAGTGGAACCAGACATCGGTGAAATTATTACACAAATAATTGCAGAATTATAATACATGAGTAATTTTTTTCCTTACTACTTTTCTTGCCATTCCTTCTCAGTATCTTTGTAGGCTCATCCTGTTTTATCCAAGTTTTAAATGTTGATGTCTTAGAGCCTCAACCTTAGGAAATCTCAGCCAGGCGAAGTTTAAGTCCCTTGTTCAGACCTCCTCACTGAGCTCTCGACCCATATAGCCAGCTCCCATTTGTCACCTTTCCTTGGATATGTGAAACCATTTTATTTGTTTATTTATTTATTTAATTTACTTTTTTAAAAGATTTTATTTATTTATTTGACAGAGAGAGACACAGCAAGAGAGGGAACACAAGCAGGGGGAGTGGGAGAGGGAGAAGCAGCCTTCCTACTTAGCAGGGAGCTCGATGCAGGGCTGGATCCCAGGACCCTGGGATCATGACCTGAGCTGAAGGCAGATGCTTAACAACTGAGCCATCCAGGCACCCCTTTTTAATTAATTAATTAATTTATTTATAAAAGGTTTTATTTATTTATTTATTTTAGTGAGGGCAGGGAGGGGCAGAGGGTGAGGGAGAGAGTCCCAAGCAGATGTGGAGCTTGATCCCAAGACCATGAGATTATGACCTGAGCCAAAACCAAGAGTTGAATGCTTAACCAACTGCGCCACCCAGGCACCCCAAGAACATTTTAAACTTACCATGTTCAGTCTTCCTGAGCAAACCTGGTATTCTTTCCTCTTTTGGTGATTGGGACCACAGTTAGCAAGCCAGAAACTGATAATACTCGCATTGCCAACACTACCCACTGTGCCCCCCTGTCCCCAATGGGAGGAGGGGTATGTATATGCACGTAGAGGCAGTAATGGTTGAGATGGTATCTGAAGCTGGAGTAGGAGGTGCTGAGGCAGCAGGGAGTTGTGGTGGTATAGTTTCAGACCAAGGAACAGCATGTGAGATGAGCCTGTTGCAGGAAGGAGCACTGCACATTAAAGAAGTAAAAGGTGATATTTGATAGGACACCATGCTACATTTAATGTACAGTTGACCCTTGAACAACATGAGTTTGAACTGTGTGGGTCCACTTACACGTGGATTTTCTTGATCAGTACAATACTGAAAATGTATTTTCTCATCCTTATGATTTTCTTAATAGCATTTTCTTTTCTTTAGCCTACTTTATTGTATTGTAAGAGTATGGTATTTAGTACATACAACATACAATATAGTGTTAATCAACTGTTTATGTTATCAGTAAGGCTTCTGGTCAACAGTAGGCTGTTAGCAGTTAAATTTGGGGGGAGTCAAAAGCTATATGTGGATTTTTAATTGTGGGGGGGTTGGTGCCTTTAATCCCCATGTTGTTCAAGGGTCAGCTGTTTATAGGTCAAAAGAAAAGAAAGGTCAGGGGTGACTCAAAATATGTCTCAGAGAACACAGTCTTCCATTTATAAATAAGACAGAGTGACAAGAATCATTGGTAACCCTAGCAGGGGCTGATAAGGTCATCGAGTAGAGGTGGGAGTCAGACTGGAGGTGGCTGAAGAAAAGTAATGCAGAGTTGAGCATAAATGCATTCCTGGATAATCCTGACTATGACAGGGAGGGGAGAGAGAGAATGGTAGTTGGAGGGAGATGTCATGTCAGAAAATGTTTTAATGGTAGAGTTGTGAGCATTCTCAAGAACCATTGGGAAGAATCCAGTTGAAGAAAAGTTACACACAGAAGCAAGAAATGGGATAATTGATATTTGTAAGTGTCCAGAAAGGGCAGGAGGAGTTAGAATCCAAAGCACTGATGACACAGTTGGTTTTATCCAGGAGGACGAACAGGTCCTCTGTTGTATCAGAAGGGAAGAAGTCCAGAATAGGGGCAGAGGCAGGCAAGCTTATGAGTTGTAGTATGAGAGGGGGGGCTCTGCATCTCCTAGCTTGTGTTTCTCTTTGCAAAATAGGAGGCAGGGTCCTCTATTGAGAATGAAAGAGAAGGGAGCGGGCTGCAGGTGTGAGGGGGGATGGTGAATGTTTGAAATCATTGTTGCAGAGAGTGGGATGGTGGAGTTATGAGAGAAACACTGTAGGAGGAATGGCTGGTAGCACAAGGGCCCATTTGAGGTCGATGCTGATTAATTTACATTGATTTTACAGTCTGCTCGCAGTGCAGGGAAAATGAACACGGAGCCTCATCCAGGGTTGGGTTTTTGCCCAATGAGCATAGCAACTAGGCAGTGGACGAGGAAGTTTAGGACTGAGGCTAGAGCGTGTAGCAGTAAAGATCAGGGCCATCTGAGCAGGAATATGGAGGCACAGTGAGAGAGGGAGATTGCGGATAGGGAGAGGGTTGAAGGGCAAGTAGACTGACACAGTTTTACTATAACAGCCAAGTAAGAATGAAGAGAATGGTATTCAGAGTGGTATGCTTGAATTTGTGCTTTGAGGTAGAAAAGTCACAGGTGCCGAAGTGTGGTCTAAGATAGGACTGCAGGGGTGGGAGGCTGTGGTAAGGGGAGAAGCTGACCACTGAAGATGACCACTCCGTTCAGGAACGGAGAAGCTCTGCTACACTCTTCAAACATAATTAATGACAAAACCTTTTACATGGAATCCTGCATTCGGTGCCTATGTTATGAGAAATAATATCTTAGCTGGACCCTCAAGACTTGTCAAGGCAAATCTGAAGATACGACCAAGACCACTTTTTCACCTTCTCTTTAAAAGCTCTTTTTGAAAAAAGGACCATGTTACTAACTATAGAATCAACATCAGTGGAAGCCATGGTAGGATTCATGCCACGTCTTACTGGTAAAATGCATGTCATGTTTCACACAAACAATGGATGGCATGGAATGGAATATTAAAATATGTTGAAATCTTTTAAATCTCCCTGTTTCTTCCACTTTAGAGTAAGTTTTCTCCATATCCGGACAATTTCTGTGAAACATGTAACCAGTCCTATTTTCAGGAGGAAGCTTGAGGTCTGCTGTATGATAGCTTCTAATTTGTTGGGATAATGAGAGGAGAGTCACCCAGTGCATGTTTTTTTCATACTGACTCTGCAGTCTTCAAACCACACGATTTCCTGTCCAAAGCATGTTTTCTCTGATCCTCAACCCCCACTTCGCATTTCCACTGCTTCTTCCACTGACGTTACTGAACATCAAATCATGGGCATTCTGCTTTAAAATCCATATCCCCAAATCATGCCCAGAAAGAACCAAACACAATCTTGTCCTCTTATTGGAGTATTTTTTCTCTTGTTTCATCTTACTTTTTCTTTCAGTGATGTAATTGGATCACTGAACTTCGTCTCAGCAACCTGTTTGATGCACTTACAGATCTGTGTGTAAGAAAGTGCTGTGGGAATATAAAGTGTCTCCGTCCTACTCTCATTTGTATGTGCTTGTGAATTTCACAATTGGGATTTCTCAGGCTTTTAAGAGGAAGTTTGTAATCATGGTGCATGTCTTTAGCTGATTATTTTCAAAATAACCTGCGTTTGGGAAACTTCTTATCTAAGTATATATTAATTGATAGCTGTGTTTTAAAGCACATTACCTTATAGATCTGTGTCCTAGGAGAAAGACAGGAATAAGTAGGAATAGATAGGAATACGAAATGTACCGTATACCCTTTTCCCTCTCTCTGAGTATCCACGTATAAGCAAATACTTTGGACTCTTTTCCTGCCTACTTAGGGAAATTGCCAGTTTTTATTTTAATTTTATTTTTTAAAATGTTTTAATTTAAATTCAATTTAATTAACACATACTGTATTATTAGTTTCAGAGCTAGAACCCAGTGCTCATTACTTGAAGGGCCCTCCTTAATGCCCATCCCCCAGTTACCCCATCCCCCCACCCACCTCCCCTCCAGTGATCCTGTTTGTTTCCTATAATTAAGAGTCTCTTATGGTTTACCTCCCTCTCTGTTTTCATCTTATTTTACTTTTCTTTCCCTTCCCCTCTATTCATCTGTTTGTTTCTTAAATTCCACATATGAGTGAAATCATATGGAATTTTCTTTGACTGGCTTATTTTGCTTAGCACAATACCCTCTAGTTCCATCTACATTGTGGCAAATGGCATGATTTCATTCTTTTTGATGGCTGAGTAGTATTCCATTGTATATGTGTGTGTATATATATATATATATATATACCACATCTTCTTTACCCATTCATCTGTCGATGGACATCTGGGCTCTTTCCATATTTGGCTATTGTGGACATTGCTGCTACAAACATTGGGGTGCATTGCCAATTTTATATCTAGGTTTCCTTGATTGTGTTTGATAAATTAAGACATTAGCTAAGTTAACTAGAGAGAATTATGTGTCAGTCGGTGGTTCTCACATTTGAGCACACATCTAAATCAGCTGGAGGACTCATAAGAATCCAGATTGCTGGGCCCAGCTCTAGAGTCACTGAAATTAGGTCACTCCACCACTGGGGTGGAGTCTGAAAATTTGCAGTTTTTAAAAAAATTTTTTAAATATTTTATGTAGGGACGCCTGGGTGGCTCAGTTGGTTAAGCGTCTGCCTTCAGCTCAGGTCATGATCCCAGGGTCCTGGGATCGAGTCCCACGTCAGGGCTCCTTGCTTGATGGGGAGCCTGCTTCTCCCTCTCCTTCTGCCTGCCGCTCCCCCTGCTTGTGCTTTCTTTCTCTCTGACAAGTAAATAAAATCTTTTTTTAAAAAAAAGATTTTGTATTTATTTGAGTATTTGAGAGAGAGAGAGAGAGCACACACAAGCCAGGGAAGAGGCAGAGAGAGAGGGAGAAGCAGACTCCCCACTGAGCAGGGAGCCCGATGTGGGGCTTGATCCCAGGACCCTGGGATCATGACCCGAGCTGAAGGCAGATGCTTAACTGCCTGAACCACCCAGGCACCCTGAAAATTTGCGTTTAGAACACATCTCCAGATGATGCTGATGCTGCTGGAGCATGCTGGGGCACAGTGTGAAAACTGCAGGTATCAATTACATATGTGTTCTAATGACTTTTTGCTGGGGTTGGGCTCTTCACAGACAGGTGGATAGTTTGAAGCAGAGAATTGCAGGGAAATCTATCCCTACTGAGAAGTTTGCTGTAAGGAAGTCTCGTCGTTACTCTGCCTCGTTGCCTGCACCCGTGAAGCTCATCGTGCCTGCCCTGGTATCTGTCTTTATTTTATTTAGTGTTTGTGTTTTAGAAATTATCTATTCACAACAGCAGGAAGCACACCTGTGAAGTTTAGCTGTTTGCTGTGAAGTTTAGCTCAACTAAACGCCATTGTAAGGGTGTTTGTAAGGTGAACATTTATGAATTATTAATAATCATAAAAATTATAGCTAATGTTTTTGACTACTTGATATGTTCTAGGCATTATGATATTCAAAAAATCTATCGTCTAATATTTTTTGAAAGGCTATTTTAAAAAATACATAATTTAATTCTTACAGTAACTCTATGGGGGTACTTTCTCTCTGTAGCCCCATTTTACAGATAAGGAAATTCAGGCAGAGAGGTGAGTTGGCTTAATTAAAGTTGAGTTGAATTCCAATGCAAGCCACTTAGATGATTTTACCTTTTCTAGTAGCGGTATTAAAAATTAAAATGTCAGAAACTGTAAAAAATTAAAGGAAACATGAAAATAATTTTAAGAATATATTTTGTTTAACTCAGTATATGTAAAATGTTTGTTTGAACATGTAACCAGTAGAAACTTAATGAGATATTTCACATTCCTTTCTGTTGTACTAATTATTTGAAATCTAGCGTGTATTTTACTTGTAGAGCATATCTCAGTTTGCACTAGCCACATTTCCGGTGCTCAAGTGCCCTAAGTGGCTGGTGGCCACTGCATTCAACAGTGTGGTGCTGGAGCTCTCTTTCTTTCTGTCTTTTTTTTTTTTTTTTTTTTTAGATTTATTTATTTAATAGAGAGCATGAGCAGGAGGGGCAGAGGGAGAGGAAGAGAAAATCTCAAGCTGACTCCATGCTCAGCGTAGAGCCCAATGCGGGGCTCGATCTCACGACCCTGAGATCTCACCTGAGCCGAAACCAAGAGTGGGCGCTTACCCGACTGCGCCACCCAGGTGCCCCTGGAGCTCACATTCTTAATCATTATGCTGTTTAGAGTAGACTTCATGAAAAGCATAATTTCCACTTAAATTTTTTTTAATGAATACTTCTTTAAAAGTACTGAATATATCAAATTATTCTGGCCCTTTGGGGCTTTAGTTTTGTGTAGGTAGTCAGCACAGGAAGACCATTAAATGCAAGCTGAAGTCTGCAGTCCTCCTTTGGAGTTTCTTGATTTTTTCTTTTTTTTTTTTTAATATTCCAGAGTTTATTCAGTGATTCCCCTTTGACAGTTTAGTTTCCAGTTTTTACTATTACTAACGTTACAATGAATATTCTTTTATATATATATATTTTTGGTGCATGTTCATATAATTCTCTGGAAAGACTTCTAGAAATGGAATTCCTGGTTGAAGGGTATGTGCACTTATTATTTTGATGTTGCCAAATTGCCCTCCAGAAAGGCTCTACTGGTTTAAATGTCTAACAACAGTGTTTCACTGTTTTAATTTACATTTCCCTGTTGGTACGGTTGAGCATCTTTTCATGTGCTTATTATTTTTATTTCTTCTCTTGTGAATTGTTCATATACTAATGTAATTTTTCATTAGGTTGTGTGTTGTTTTGTCATTGACTTGTAGGAGCTCTTTATATATTCTGTGAGAAAGAAAACTGCAGCCTCTAACAGGTGTCAGATAGGAGCTAACCTATACCTAGGTCCAGGTGTTCTCTACTTAAGATCAATAGTCTCAGAGAGCACCACCATCAGAGCAGGTTATTCTGTGCCTGTGATGGAATGAGACAAAAATAGCACTCTGTCACCAAATCTGAGCACAGATAAAAACAGGACACCATGCAAATCACAAAAATGACCAAACATCCCCCTTTTCCAGCTAACATGGGAGCCTATTGCTGTTTCACCAATTACAGCTTTTAGATCTGTTCCTGATGATTGATTTCTATCAAGTGATTTGCACTGGGAAATTTTTTGTGTCACAGAACTTTCGTGAAAATTTTCTAAAGCATAATAGCCCTTTCTGTGCCCTAGAACTTAGATGCTGGTGTGTACATAACTCTATCTTACTTTGATCACTAAGGGTCTTCAGGAAGGGTAACTCACAGCACTTCTTTCTACAGGCTTAAAGGTGTAGAATTGGTTTGAATTTGTAGTTAACTAGGAATTTCACCAAAATGTTATTTTTCATAGAATCTCAGATGTGAGCTTGCCTTCTTCTGATAAAATAGTCTATTGATAAAAACAAAATTTAAAGATCATCAGTTAATTATTCCATTAATTATTGAATCGAGTTCTTACACCATTAGCAATAAGAAACTGTTAGATGTAAAGAAAAAAAAATTAGAGTGTTGTGATCTTCGTTTTCAGTGCCATAGAGTAGAGATGACTTTGCTGCCACTCGAATGTATTTTCCTCATTTCCACTACTTCCCTGTAAGGAGCTGTTCAAACAATATCTTTATCGTATTTTAAAATTCATTTATCTCGAAGAAGATACTAATTACCCTGCTTATTTCATACCCTTAAAAATATGAACTGTACTACCAGGAAAGTTAGAAAAATATTTTCAAGCAAAAGCATATTTGCTTTTGGTCCAAAATATTTCTCATCTGTTAGCCTATGAGATGTAATTTGCAATGAGAAATCATTAGTTTACATTTTCAGGGGCTGTCATTCAGCCATATGGTCTTTAGATGAATGCATTTCCTGCATGTTGATCACTGGACTGTCACATGTTTTTAATGGGATAAAAGAACCATTAAAATATTTTCTATGTTCGTTTCCAGTGAAGTCCTTGGAATATGTAAACAACTGGCAGATATTTTAAAAATGTTTCCCTTTACTTAAAAGTAACAACAAAACTTTGTATCAAATACAATTGTTCATAGTGTTAGTTAAAAGTATTCTATTTATTTCTGTGTTTGTAAACTGTTATCTTCCAAAAGGATCGAATGCCGGTAGTAGATGCTTAAATGAATGAGTAAATTTTTCAGTAAAAATGTAATATACTGTATATACTGAATTACTTCATGGTATAAAAGGCAAAAGGCATATAATAAAATGAGAAAAGGGGAAATTATATTCACTACACTCCAAATAAGGAAAGCTAAGGCAAGTGATCTCTGAATGTTGTCTTGAGATCCGTAGCAACCAAGAGAGTAGTTTCGTTGTTGTAAAGGACATTAGATAACCTCACATAATTGCAAATGGCTTTTCATTCTTCCTCATTAGGAAATGATGTATGTCTGGAATGGTTTTCCAATAGTGAGCAAGAGAAGAGACCTTTCCGAAAATCTGTTGGTCACTGTCGAAAAGGCTGAGGCTGCTTTACAAAATGAAAGTAAGTATGAAAAGTAAAAGCCTGGAAATCTTTTTTATTACCACTCTCCTGCCCTTTCCCTGTGCATATCGGCCCATGTTCATTTGTGTGCGTCACAAGGACAAAGCACTTGGGACGCAAGGGTCTGGGTGATTGTAATCAGAGGAAGGGAGGAATGACACATGCTGCAATGTGGACGAGCCTTGGGGACGCAAGGCTACATGAAAGATGCCAGTTGCAGAAGACCGCATATTGCATGGTTCCATTTATATGAGATATTGAGAATAGGTAAATCTACAAAGACTGAAAGTAGACTAGTGGTTTTATAACTAGGGATGGAGGAACTGGGGCGTGTGTGTGATCGCTTTTAACGAGTATGGCATTTCTTTTTGGAGTGATGAAAATGTTCTAAGACCGTGGTATTGGTTGAACAGCTCTATAACATACTCAAAACCAGCGGACTGTGTATTTCCGGTGGGTGAATTGTATGGTATGTGAATTATATCTGAATAAGTTTGTCACTGAAAAAGATGGACAATCAGTCGAGTTGTAGAGTGCATTTCTGGTTTTTAGTTTGTGACTCTTCCCATGCCTCCTTTTGCTTGGTAATGACTATTATGTTTTTGCAGACACAGAAGATTGTTTCCCAGTTGAAATTTTATCACAGTTTAATTTTTTTACTCATTACTGTTGGTTGTTCTAGAGGCCCCTCTCCAGTTGACTGGGAGCTCCGGTTCCTGGAAGCAGCTGGTATAGTAGAAGGAAAATCAGGCCATCTGGGCTTACTGTCCCAGCCCTGCAGCTCTCAGACTCTGGGAAACATGCCTCATCATTCTGGGCCTCTGGTTTCTTGTAAAATGGGATAATGACACCCAAAAATACACAGATAATCTCCAAAGTTTTCTTGCTCTGACATTGTCTACTTCTCTAGCTTAAATAGAGGATCTATCTTTTGATAAATGATGCTATAAATGATAGTCTTTGTAATCCTTATCAACCTCGCAATCATTCAGGTTTTATCCTTTGGAATGTTCTAGCTACGGAAGTAAAATGAAAACTTCATGGCGACAAACATGGCAAAGGGCATAGAAGTTCAGGAAAAGGCAGGGAAAATTATAACAGTTAACTCCTATTTCTTAACTGGAAAAAGATGGGCATTGATGGAGTGGCTAGCCCCATACTCAATATATTCTCCCCATGGAAAATTAAATATTGAACATAGCTCTGGGGATGAGGACCTCATTTGGATCTTTTTTGTATTTGGAGCTATTGAATGAGGCTGAAATGTTAAATGAGATTCTTCTTTATAGTTATTGTTAAAAAATTAAACACATAATTATGATTGATAGATGTAGGTGAAAAAAGTTATGCATATTTTTGCTACTACAACACAGTTAATTTAGAGTATTTGTTTGTTCCATCCTAGCCTTATTTTTATAGTTATAATCATAGTGTACCTAGACACATGTTAGACTTTTTTTTTCACTTAATATAGCAAACTTTTTTTAATTGAAGTATAACTGACATATAACATTATATTAGTTTCATGTGTATACCATAATGATTCAGTATTTGTGGACTCTAATGATCAGCACAATAAGTCTAGTTAACATACATTACTATACATATTACAATTTTTTTTCTTGTGTTAGAACTTTTAAGATCTGCTCTCTTAGCAACTTTCAAATATGTAGTACAGTATTATTAACTATAGTCACCATGCTGTACATTATTTATTTTATAATGGGAAGTTTATACTTTTGATTCTCTTTACTCATTTCTCCCACCTCCCATGCCCCACCCCCGGCAACCACCAATTTATGAGCTTGCTTTTTTGTTTTGTTCTGTTTGTTTTAGATTTCACATAAGTGAGATCGTATGGTATTTGTCTTTCTCTGTCTGACTTATTTCATTACTTAGCATAATGCCCTCAAGGTCAATCCATGTTGTTGCAGAATGGCAAGATTTTATTTTTTTATGGCTGAATAATATTCCGTGGTATGTATACACTACATTTTCTTTATCCATTCATCCACTATGGCTTCCATATCTTGGCTATTGTAAATAATGCTGTAATGAACATGAGGGTGCACATACTTTTCGAGTTGGTGTTTTCATTTTCTTTGGATAAATACCTAGAAGTGGAATTGCTAGATCATATGGTAGTTCTATTGTTATCATAGACTTTTAAATTGTTGTTAAATGGCTCTTACAATAATTTCAAAAGCTTCACAGCACTCCATGGAATTATGTATCATAATTTAATCAACTCTTTCAATATTGTTGGGCATTTAGGCTGCTTTCCATATTTAAAATAATTCTAGTTTTAGATTGCCATCAATAAGGAGAAGAAATATAAAAGAATGAAAGGGGAATCAGTGGCCTTAATTGCTAATAAGGTCAAGGTTTCAGGCAGGATAGCTGAAGAAGTCAGTAGAACAAAAAGCAGTGATGTTCTGAGGCCACAGACCAGCACCCCTGCCCCGCAATTCTCCCAAATAACCATTCTGCGAATATAAACTGGTAATCACAGGGAGATCAGGTAAATGGAATATTCTACTTTACTATTAAAAAAGTCACCTGCAAAGGTCCTCTATTGATGGAGGGTGAGTAATGTCAGTCTCCTATATTAAAGGCAGCATTTTTATAAAAGAACTGTGGTTCCCTTTCTCTCCTTTCTCCTCCCCCTTACAGAAAAGTATTAAACTTCAGCCCCTATGAGCTGGGGCTTAGGTACGGTAGCCAAAATATTGAAGTATTTATCTTCATGGACTGAAAATTCTCTGTGATCTCTGGGCACCAGGGAAACAAGTGGATGAAAAGGTTTAAGAAACTGAAATCAAAAAGAGAAACCAAAATTTGTATTATTTAACAGGGAACCAAAGGAGTGTATGTATAAGAACAAACTTAACAGTCTCATTATATGGACATTTTAGACTTTCTTTGTATGTTCTAGATGTTCCATTAATAATATATTATCTACATAGTTCCTATATATAGAGTTGCATTAAGCTTCTTTACTATTTTTACAATTATATCTTGTTAATTTTCAAAAATTATTTTATTTTATTTATTTTTATTTTTATCTCACGACTGTGAGATCAAGACCTGAGCTGATGAGATGAGGAGTCAGACGCTTAACGACTGAGCCGCCCAGGTGCCTCTCTTTTTAATTTTTAATTGAAGTACACAAAATTTACCATGTGCCCCATTTTTAACTGTACAGTTCAGTAATGTTTTGTTCACATAGTTGTACAACCAGTCTCCAGAACTTTTCCATACCCATTAAAAATAGCTCTCCATTTCCCTCTCCCCACTGCCTCTGGCAACCACAGTTACACTTTTTGTTACTATGAATTTGACTATGTTAGGTTGCTCATATGAGTGGAATCCTACATTATTTGTCCTTTTGGGACTGGCTTATTTCACTTTGCATTATGGCGCCTCAGAGAATGGGGTCCCTGGGTGGCTCAGTCGGTTAAGTGTCTGCCTTTGGCTCAGGCCTTGATCCCGGGGTCCTGGGATTGAGCTCCCCATGTCGGGCTATCTGCTTAGTGGGGAGTTTCCTTCTCCCTCTCCATCTGCCTCTCCCCCTGCTTGTGTTCTCCCTCTCTCTCTGTGTGTCAAATAAATAAAATCTTAAAAAAAAAAAATGGCCTCAGGGTATATCCATGTTGTAGCATGTGTGAGAATTTCCCTCTTTAAGGCTGCATAATATTCCATTGAATGTATATATCACATTTTGCTTTTCCATTTATCCACTGTTGCACATTGAGTTGCTTCCACTTTTTGGCTATTGCAAATAATACTTCTATGTAAAATTTTTTTGAGATTGTTTTCAGTTCTTTTATTTATTTTTAAAGATTTTATTTATTTATTTGAAAGAGAGAGAGAGGGAATACAAGCGGGGGGGAGGGGTAGAAGGAGAAGCAGGCTACCCGCCGAGCAGGGAACCCGAAGCAGGGCTCCATCTCAGGACCCTGGGATCATGACCCGAGCCTAAGGCAGACGCTTAACTGACTGAGCCACCCAGGTGCCCCGCTTTCAGTTCTTTTAGGTATATCCCCAGAAGTAGAATTACTGGATCATGTGGCATTTCTATTTTAAATTTTTTGAGGAATTGTCATACTGTTTTCTGTAATGGCTGTACCATTTTACATTCCCTCCAGCAGTTCACAAGGTTCTAATTTCTCTATATCCTCACTAGTATTTGTAATATCCTGGGGTTTTTTTTTTTTTTTTTTTTTTTTGGTACTAGCCATTCTAGTGGATGTGAAATGATCTTTACTATTTTCCTTCAAAAAAGGAAAAATATTTCAGTTTGATTTGAGTGTAAAGTCAACATGAAGTTACATCATTTTGAATTTTAGATGAAATGAAACTCCATGAAAGTTCACCTTAAAAAATGAGATTTCAGGGCGCCTGGGTGGCTCAGTTGGTTAAGCGACTGCCTTCAGCTCAGGTCATGATCCCAGGGTCCTGGGATCGAGTCCCGCATCGGGCTCCCTGCTCTGCGGGGAGCCTGCTTCTCCCTCTCCCCTCCCCCTGCTTGTGTTCCCTCTCTCGCTGTGTCTCTCTCTGGCAAATAAATAAATAAAATCTTTAAAAAAAAAAATGAGATTTCACAAAATGCACCTTTGTAATATCCATTTGGGCTTTTAAACCAATTTTAGTGTTCATTTTTGTTCAACTAATTTGGCTACATTTTATTAACTTGCTCATTTGAACACTCTTAGATTTTCCATACTAGATATAGAATTGTGATAGGCTGGGAAAACATTGTTCCTGCCAGTAGGAGAATTATCTATGACTAAAACCCACATATCCACAAACCAAGTGGGAAAATGGATATGTTTTTAATAAGTGGATATGTAAAAACTGGGAAGTGAAGGAAAACCTCTTTTTTTTAATGAAAACATTTGTAGAGTATTCCCCCCACCCCGGAAAAGTGGACCATCTTGTTCTTTGTGGTTTTTTTTTTTTTTTTTTTTGACAGAGAGAGAGATGGCAAGAGCAGGAACACAAGCAGGGGGAGTGGGAGAGGGAGAAGCAGGCTTCCCGCCGAGCAGGGAGCCCGACGTGGGGCTCGATCCCAGGACTCTGGGATCATGACCTGAGCTGAAGGCAGACGCTTAACGACTGAACCACCCAGGCGCCCCTCTTTGTGTTTTTTTCTACAAATGTAAGGGCTTTGGCTCAGTTGAATAAATTCTGACATCTGAATGTCTATCCTTTGTAGTACAGACTAATATTTACCACCAGAGAGCGGGGCCTTTGTATATTAAGAAGTCCTGAGGGACCATTGGATTGTTCTCTATTTGAGCAGGATCTTCAGCCTTTACCTCAAAGTTTATTTTGTCCCATTATTGGTTGGGGGAAAAATGTAAAGGAGTAATATATGTATCTGACTAAGTATGTACAGTGCAATAGAGGCTTGAAAAACCAGACTGCTCTCTCCATTCATTCCTTGTTCTTTTAATGATCTATTGAGATGATCGGCTTAGAGATGTTTAAGGAGGGCTGGGGAAAGCTCAGACAGATGCACTGTACTTTGTACGATTCTGTTTTTGTATGTGTTCCCTCTGGGTAAAAAAAAATAATAAAAGTTTTCTTTCCTAAAGATTTTGTACACAAAATTTATGATAATCTCTTCCAGGTCCATTATTTTATGCAGGAAAATTACCAGAGTTCCATCTCTGCTCCCTCGCTCCTCTCAGTAATGACCTTTTAGTAATTAAGCTCTTATCTTTCAGAGCAAGGGGGAAAAAAAATCCAAAACTGAAAAAATGAAGTGAAGTTGTAAACCCGAGGTGACTCCAGCCTCCACCCCCTTTCTCCCCAGTATTGGGAATTGAATGTGTTTTTGCTTTTCCCCTTGGCAAGTGTCTCTAAAGTAAAAGAGGGTGGAAGATACAGTTGGTGTTTTACTCTGACAGTGTGATTATGAAAGGCCCGTTTGGGATACAAAGGGAAGGATACAGTTTAATAAGTGAAGAGCACTTGGTGTAATATGCCTGGAGTCAGTATCTGCCACTAATTCCATTAGTATTCCATTAGTGTTCCATTTGAAATCTAACTAAACTCAACATGGAGCCGGAAGTTGGTACAGTAGTTCTTCTCTGACTCTCTGTTGCAGTTAATTTGCTTTGTGAAATTATATAGCAAACATAATCAGGGTTACATAAAAGGGAAAATGCTACTTTACGGCTTTTCACTTTCTAAATCTGTTTTTGAATTTTTCCTTTGGTGCATTTCAGCTAGTTTCTAAGAAGTTCAGTGTGGATATTTTTGTAGTTTGGGCTTCAAACTTTCTTTTTCCTCAGCCTACCCTCTGTTTTATTAAGTTAAGCAGATCTTTTTTTTTTTTTAATTTTTTATTGTTATGTTAATCACCATACATTATATCATTAGTTGTTGAGTTAGATCATTTATATTCAGTTCCAACAAGAATACAGCATTGACAGCATCATTAGTTTTTGATGTAGTGTTCCATGATTCATTGTTTGTCCATAACACCCAGTGCTCCATGCAGAACGTGCCCTCCTCAATACCCACCACCAGGCTAACCCATCCTCCCACCCCCCTCCCCTCTAGAACCCTCAGTTTGTTTTTCAGAGTCCATCGTCTCTCATGGTTCGTCTACCCCTCCGATTTCCCCCGCTTCATTCTTCCCCTCCCGCTACCTTCTTCTTCTTTTTTTTTTTTTTCTTAACATATATTGCATTATTTGTTTCAGAGGTACAGATCTGAGATTCAACAGTCTTGCACAATTCACAGCAAGTTAAGCAGATCTTTTGTGATGAAAATGTGCTTTGGCAGCATTGTTGTATAATCTTCTTGGAATGTAAAATGGAAATTGTGTGTTGAAACGTTCATCTGTGAACTCACCGATGAGGTTGAGAATCATGATAAAGCATTCAGATTTTAAGGGAATATAATCATCTGACAGAGAGTACTCTGTGGTCTGAGGAAATAATGGTTTTGCTAAGGTTTGGAGGAAGGTGGTATCTTCGGACCCATATTCCATAACTTATGATCTAATAAAAGCTAAGTGCAGCTTTAGTGGTACTTTAATTTTCCATGGTGTTATGTCAGTTCTCAGCAAAACCATCATGCACTGAGCACCAGAATTTCATGCTAAGACAAACTGTCATAAAATGCTAATACAGAACTCAATAGAATGCACAAAAATGATACTAAAAACTAGCATCCAGTTTGGACCCTAAGGGTTTTGTTCTAGGCCTGGAAAGATATTGCTTCTTATATATGTATTTCAGTGAGCATCCAAGATTAGAAACATACAGATATGTTTGTGTGGGGTGTGTGTGTGTGTGTGTGTGTGTGTGTGTGTGTGTGTGTGGCCGAGGGGATGGGAGGGAGCTGAAAAATGGTCCTTAAGTAACAGGAATATCAACTTGATGTTGATATCTGTGATTCTTCTTGGTGAATGAACTATCAGAGCTTGGAAGTGAGAGGTGAATATTAGCTATTTTTAGCACCTAGAAGTAAAGTGACCCCCTTCCAGTTGGTTAAGTAGCATCATTAACCTCCCATAAACAAGCAGTTTACTAACTCAAAACACCAGCATGTGTTAATGGTGATTTCTGAGGTTTGTACTGAAAGCAGGGGAATCTCAATATGAGGACTCCCAGGCCTCAGTGGTTCGGTTTACTACCTGTCCCACCCCCTGTATTGTCACAGTCTGAAATGTATAAATTATCAGTCTGTCTTGGGAATGACTAAGTTGCAGTCACTTGAGAAAGCTCCCCAGTTCAAAAGTGTTAGATGTGAAGTGTCTACTTTTGTCAGGCTGGTGTCACACGGATATGGTTCCTTTTGTTTAATATTCTACAGCCTTGGGCTGTAGAAGGCAGAGTCATTTTCAAAAGGGAAAACGTGGTGAAAGAAAACCCTTTACGTTAGCCTCAAGCACTTGCAAGTTCGTGAGGATTTTGCGTAACTTGCATGTACTTGGGAACCATTTTGTCTGATTTTATGACAGAATTTCCCCCCCAAAGAACAAAACCTGGGAGAATTTGTAAGTTGTTAACAGAATGGTCTGGAGAGGGTATTCTACTTCCTGAATTTTTAATGGGTAGGAAGCCATCTGCTTCTCCATATGGAAGTGTTATCCTCCCCTGCGTGAAGCCAGCACAGTTAGAAATCAGAGCCACAGGGGGAGGCAGCCTTCTTGCTCCTCACTGCTTGACCTTTTATAGAATTAATACAGCTCTTACTTTATTTAGAGTTCAGATTTCCTATTGTTACAGCTAAGGCCACCTAACTCAGAGAATGAGCACTGAGCGCCTGAAGAAAGATTTTCAAGTGGATAGATGTTCAAGTTTTATTTCAGTAAACTGGTGTATTAAGGTAGTAAGCTGCCTCTTCTTTTAATTTAGAATATTTTCATTGTGTTTTATTAAGTGAAGCATAACAAATGCTAGAAATATTTTCCTTACTTTTCAAAAAGTGATCCCCCCGAAACCTCGTAGCTATTCGTTCTCCCTCTTCCTTGGGGTTTTATTTATTTATTTAATTTATTTATTTTATTTTTTGTTTTTCCTTGGGATGTTAAAAAGTGGTTTTCCTCTTGTGTGTGCTTTCTGTTTGTTTGGCTTTAGACATAAGCGACTACTCCGTGGACGACGACTGCTTAGTGAAGCTGCTGAAGGGCTGTTGCCTGAAGAACCTACAGCGGCCCCTGCAGGCCGAACTGTACTTCAATCACGTCATCCAAAGGTACAGCCAAACTGGGAGGCCGAGCGGCGTGCAGATTGCGGTTTCCAGGGAATTGCTGGGAGGGAGTGACGTGCTCGCCCGCTGCGAGTGTTCGCTTACCGGGAAGAGAATCCAGTAGTGCTCTCTTTGTCCTTTGAGAGCAGACTTGGAGCCTAAGTAGAACGTGGCTTTATGCATTTCTACGTGGGGTCGAAGGGGAACACTAAGTTCCATGAAAACTAAACCCTAGCTTAGGCGAGAATGTCAGAGGACTGGTGAGGACTGGTGTCCTTACAAAGAGGAAAGGGACCACCATGTCTTTTTCCCAAATAAGTAATCTACAGTTTTTAGTAAACATGTTAAAGAAGTAGCCATTGATAAAAAAAAAAATAATTAAAAATAAAGTATCCGTTGAATTCAATTTTACTGGTGTTTCTGGAAGGATCAAAAGGATGACCCATTTGAGCTATGTGTCGAATCTACAGTGAATTGTTTGCTCATGTGTTTTGTAATTTTGGATCGTGAGCTCCCCTTCAGTGGGGTTTTATCTCGAGACACCTATGAGGCTAGGATGGAAGAAGAGTCTCTAAAGTGATTTTGATTTTATTTCTGCCAGGTGCCCCCAAAACTTTTTCAGCCCAGGCCCACTTTCATGTTAATGTCATTGCCTAGAGGTTCTTGGATCCTTTGGGCCATGTAAACTTGAATTGCAAATTCATGTGAGGACAAGCCTACTGTTTATTAATTTCCCATGGAATGTGTTTTTTCCTTCCAACCTGGATGCAGGCCGAGGTGCCAAGTGCCCTTGGCTTCCTCCTATGCCAGGGAGTGGGTTTTTCTAATCTGCCCTTTCTCTGATGGAGAATGGCCCCAGCTTTATATAGAGGTCTCAGGCTCTGCTCTTCTGTGGACTCAAGGCCTCATCTGCGTGGACACTGAGATATAAAGCCCTGGTTGATTAAGGCCAAAACAGATCCCAGGACTACTTTGACATCATCCACACACTTAGAGTCTGGCTTTGTTTTGTTTTCAGTTTGAGAGTTTTTCTTATGTTCTTATGAGCTTAGTTATGCATTTGGAAGGGCATTACTTATATATATATTTTTTATTGCTTCTTGATGTTTTATGGTCAGATTTCATAATATTGCTGAAAACAGAAGTGTCGACCACTTATTTATTGACTTTTTTTTTAGCCTTATAGGACTTAACAATATAAGGTAATACAGTGTTTTTATTTCATAGCCTTGTGCTCGCTTCGGCAGCACATATACTAAAATATTTCTTAGCCTTATAAGACTTAACAATATAAAGTAATACAGTGTTCTTATTTCTAAATGGAGTCATTTCCTGAACACATTCATTTTTTAGGAGGATGACTTTGTCCTTTCCAGGGTTAATCTTTGAAGATCTGCATGCATTCATCTTCCTAAGGGTCATAAACAATGCTCAGTACTGGATTTAGATCAAAGAATAAAATAAAAGATGAATATATTCAAAACAAACTATTTATTGCCATCGTTTATTAGATTCCTTGATTGTATAATGACAGTTCTCTCTGGTAATAGGCTTAGTGCTGCACCTGTTTTCTGAGGAATGGGGAAAGTACATACATTGAAAAAGAATGATTTGTTTCTTGTTCTGTTAAGACTTAATCGCTTTTCTTTCACTCTTTTAGTGAAAAGCTACTGAAGTATGATCACTATCTAGTGCCATTTACTCTGTTTGAGTTGGCCTTTTTGTACAAAAGCCAAGGGGAAATTGACAAGGCCATAAAGACCCTAGAAACTGCAAGGTAAGTGACGATGGCAGCTTTTCCTGCTTGCTATGGAGTCAGGAACATCCACAGTAGTGTAACCACAGCAGAAATATTATATACTTAGAAGTTAAAACATGAATGAAAAATTAGTGATAATGTTATGCTCATGACTTTTGCTGTAGTTGTGCTATTTCCAGCCTTTTTAATGCCTGGCCCTGTGACTGTTTACAAGTGTTGTGATTGTGGGCATCTCTATGCCAGACTTCTAACCTATTCTCTTCTGGATTGGGGTTGGCAGATGTTTTCCGTAAAGGGCCAGATAGTAAGTATATTTGGTTTTACAGTATAAGGTCCCATTGCAACTTCTAATTGTATTGCAGCAGCCACAGAAGACAGCTTGTAAATAAATGGGTATATCTGGATTTGGCCATTATTTGGGTCACAGTCTGCTGACCCTTGGTGTCTTCAACCATATCTCTCGTTTCCCTGAAGAGCCGCTGATTGGAAGAAGCCCTCTGGATCTTTCCCTGGCTCTCTTTTCTTTCTGTCTACTGTGGTAATTTCAAAGCATTTTCATTTCTGCTAGACAATGGCTCTCAGACTTGTGATCACGGCTCACTTAAAACCCTGTGGTCTGTTTGCCTTGAATACTTCTTACAGGGAGAAAGAATGACATAATAGCTTTAAGCCATAAATAGCTTAGTGATTCATTGGTTTGTTTATTTACTCAAATTCAGCGAGTATTCACTGAGCACTTATTATGTGCCAGACTCTAGTAAAGGCTCTAGACAGACATCTGTACATAAACAGGCAACATTTCCTCTTGCTTAGTTAGAGGGAAATGTTGAATAAGCCAACAAGTAGGAAAGCCAGCAATGGTATATGCTTTGCTGAGATTTATAGTACGATACAGAGTCCCTGGGTATTACCTTAAATTGAGTTGAGTCTGGAAGATTTCCTTGAAGAGATGATATTGTAGTTGAGATTTGCATATTTAAAGCCAGTCTTGAGAAGATCAGTCACCAAACGACTGGGCGGGGAGCATTCCTGGCTGAAGCCACAGCTAGGAAACCTATAAACTGGACGGTTGAGCCACTAGATAGTACATGATGCTCTTTACTGAAATGGGGTATGCTTAGAAGAGCAGGTTCCAGGAAAGGAGAAAACATACTTCTGTTTAGGACCATGGGATTCTGAGGTGCTCGTTGGGTGTCCATGTGGAGATGGACAAAATATACAAGCGTGGAGTTCAGTGGAAACATCAAGGCTGAATGTAGAGATTTCAAAGTCACCTGCACAGAGACAGTGATATTTAAAGCCATGATACTTGAAGTGATTCTGGGAAAATAATATAACTAGAGAGAAAGGTTCAGCACAGAGCCTTGGGATATGCCATCATTTTAGACATGAAACAATAAGATTAAGAAGAAGTGGCCAGTGAGTTAGGAAAACATGCGGGAAAGCCAAGTGAACAGAGTGTTTCAAAGAGAAGCGAGCGGTCATTTGTGAGGATGGCTGCTGAGAGGTCAAGCAAGGTGAGTCCAGAGAAGTGGCTGCTGAACCTGGCAGCATGAAGATCATCAGTGACTTTGACCTGTGAGGGGAGAAAATGGAGTCAGCTACTTCAGGCAACTTTTCAGGATGTTTTGCTGTGAATAAAGCCTAGTAATGGGAAAGAAGCTTTGGGGGCATCACGGAACCGAGAGAGGGGGCTGCTGCTGCTAATTTTTTTAAAGGGTGATACTAGGGGCACCTGGGGGACTCAGTCAGGTGGGCATCTGCCTTCGCCTCAGGTCATGATCCCGGGGTCCTGGGATGGAGCCTCGCATCGGGCTCCCTGCTCCACGGGGAGCCTGCTTCTCCCTCTCCCTCTGCTGTTCCCCCTGCTTGTGCTCTCTCTCTCTCTCTCTCTACAAATAAATAAAAATCTTTAAAAAAAAATAAAGGGTGATATCAGAGTGAGTCACTTTTAAAGCTAATTTTGTTGAGAGTGAGAATGACTCATATTTCAGCTGACATGTATGTATCTTCAAATCTAGCTATTGGAAAATTAGGGACTCTCATTATGTTGTTTGCAGTATTCATTGTTTGGACCTACTTGGTGCTACCTAAGCAATGCACAATAAGACAAATTTATAATGATGAAAATAAAAGATTGGTAATTCACTACTACAAAGGAAGACCACCAGTGATCAAAAGTCACCACTAACTCAAGCCCAGTGCTAATGAGGCCACCGTAAACAGACTTCCCAATAATTTCAAGACTTTCAGTTGTCTGCATTTTCCCTTCTTCTGTTGGAGCTTCTCAAAGTTGCCAAAATTAGTGGCCAGGCATTTAGGAAAATACCCAATTACATCCTCTGGTAACCCGTATTGTGAATAGTAACCCTTATCAAGGTTACCAGTGAGCAGCTCTTAGCCCTCTCTAAAATGAAGGGCTGTAGAAGGACAGTATTGCCATGCAGAGGAGTTACAGTTCACCCACGGGCCAAGGTGGTGTGTGAAAGCAGGAGCCCAAAGTCAAAGCCATTCCGCTGTGCCGATTCTTAACAATTCGAGCAGACAGAAGTGAACACGGATGAGCTAAGTAAACGTTTTAACTAATCTGCGGATTTCTATGGCCCCTTCTGACATTGTCCCACAACTGTTGGCCAAACGATTGATATTTGCCTGTGAGAATTGGAGTAAGTAATTTTGGTATCACCACATAATCCTGATTTCTTTGTTGTAGTTGTTTCATGAGGGTTTCAGCGTGATTTCTCTGGGGCGGGGGGCTGGTGATTGATAATGTTCACGTGAAGCTGCCTTAAAATTCCTGGTTTAGAGAAGGAAGTCAACTATTTAGGAATAGTTCACAAAATTTGTTAAACCGTCTTCATAAGCTTCTGGCTGTGTTTGTGAATGGCTTGGTCATTAAATAGGAACTTGCTACTCAAAGTATGACTTTCAAATCACTGCCAGGAAGCTTCTAGAAATAGAGAATATTGCCATCCTCCTTCGCTCACAGGATCGGAATCTACATTTTAACAAGATCTGCTGTTAATGCATATTCACGTTTGGAAGCAAATAAGGAGTGAAGATGAGAAGAAGGGGAGGTGGTGATGTTTCCCTTGGATACAAAGGGATTTTGACATTACAATTTCATTGTTATTTTCTTTAGAAACAACTACAAAGATTACTCCATGGAGTCCAGGCTACACTTCCGAATTCAGGCAGCTCTTCACCTCTGGAAAAAAACTTCCTCCGATTGATCAGAACACGAAGGATGGAGTTTCCCCTCAGTTAGCACTGACATATGCTCTAGATTAGACCTTGTATTAAAGTGGAAAAGTGATCTTGTGAATGAGAGACAAAAAACTAATTTTATTGTCAATATTTTTTATCATCTGTATGGTTTACTGTTGGTCTGCATAAATGTTTTTTTTTCTTATGAAACGATGTTCAATGTTCAGTACTGTCTAGAAAATTCTTATATTTTGCCTCTCCAAAAAGAATTTCATATTAGATTTGAATTGGAGAGTAAAGAAGTCTTTTAAAGGACTCACAGGTACAATAAAGTCTGATTAGATTATTTATTTTTTTAATGTGGAAATTTATGTTTAAGTAGCAAAGCGCTGATAAGTTGAGCCATTTTTAGATTTGTTGGTCAGAGATATTTTGTTGCCTAGTATTTAAATTTAAGAGGGGAAATAAAAATCACCTACATTCAAAATAGATTAACAATAACCTGAAGTCTCCTGAGCAAGACAGGCAGTGGGTGTGAATAGGGATAGGATAGTGTCCTTAATGGGTTGAAGGGAACTGTTTCTAGAAAAGATGGTGAAATATTAGGTTTTGGGTTTTTTTTTATTCTTCATGTAAGTTAAAGGTGGTGACATTTTTGAGTGACTATCCTTTTTTTGAATGTACTTAAATCTATTATAATAACAAAATTCAAAAAACTCTGTCTAAAGGGAAGAAAAGTCATATTTTAGAAATTATCCTCAACCTTAGCCATGAGAGTCTAAAATACATACGTTGATTATTTTTTCTATAGGAAGCAAAGTTCCTGCTGCTTTAAATGGTATGTAAAATATCAATAATTTTTATACTCATGATGTTGGTGAGTAAGATCTAATTTTCTAATCTATCTAGCACTGTGATGGTTCCTTGTAAATATCTGGACCACGCTTTGTCCTTTATCTGGGAAACACAATCAGGGCAGAATGTGGGGGAGAGCCTGGCTCTGGTACTGCTTAGCAGTCACTGAGGTGACCTTTAGGGAGCCCCCTGCTCTCTGCATCAGCATATTTTCCTCATCTGTGAAATGGAAAAAGAACAGATGAATTTTCAAGGTCTCTTTTGGTTTTATAACTGTGAGTCTGTGTATTAGGCATTTTCAGCAAACAGTGTCAAACTGTTTAACTCAAGCTGTTAGCACAAAGTGCGTGTCTTATTCTACAATCATCTCTGTCTACCCCCACTTTGCCCCCCATATGTTGGGGTTAATGACAGGATTGCATCCAGGGCGAGGAAAAATAATTCATGGATCCATAAATCAGGGTGTGGTCCTATTTCTGTTCTATTTTGAAGAGTAACTTATCATGGAAACCTCTGTAGTTTAACAGAACATCCCCAGATTGGGATCTGGAGCCCACCTGTGGTAGTTAGTAATTCCTTGACGTCGATGGAGTAAGTCCTTCATTCTTTCTGTGACTCCATTTCCCCAGGAGGGGGGGGCGCGAAAGCAACACAAGTGCTTGGTGCTCGTGGCGGCTCAATTAGATGATGCGTAGGATAGCTTTTGGTAAACTGTGAAAGTCTATATGAATATATGAGTTGCCGTAATAATTAGGGTTTTTATGCACTGATTACAATACCAACACAAAAATATTGGCTGAGTTTGTGGCCTCTGCTGTAAAATGAAGGAAGTGCAGAAATTCAAGCACCTTTAAATTTATTCATGTGTTTGTCACTGACAATAACCCAGAGTATGAATTTGCTCCTTGCTGTTCATTCCCTGCTACGTGAGTCTGTACCCGGCAGGTATTTTGGTCTTGTTTTCTTTAAGGTGCTAATTCTTGACCAATACTGAAGATACGTTTCCAGTGGAAGATGATTAATACAACTTGAGTCAGAGAACTAGCCCTTCAGAGAGCATGGTGGGAGCTCTCACTATGTGCTATTAATATGAATTACGTAGCTTTATTTTAGGTCCAGGCGAGAGGAAATAAAATGAACTGTTATTACAATATCAGCAGTGGAAATATGTTTAATAATTATTTTGTATACAACTTGAGAAATAGGTTATAAATTCCATAGAAGAGCTTTGGTAGCATTACTTTTTTAAAGTATAAATACACCCACGTTGTTTTTGTGAGAAGCTGCAGGTCAGAGCGAAAGTCAGTAAAAACTTATCTTTCTGGTATAATTTGAAAACTATATGAGCTATTGCGGTTATTTTTATTTTATTTTAACTCTGCGTTACCAAACAAATATAAAAGAAATTCCTGTATCTCATTAAAATTTGTCTTTTATTTTTTTCTTCTATTGTTTTTATTTTTACTTCCTCTTCTTCTTATTTAAGTTCAATTAACCAACATATAGAACATCATTAGCTTCAGATGTAATTCAGTAATTTATCAGTTGCATATAACACCCAGTGCTCATCACCTTAATGCCAGTCACCCAGTTACCCCATCCCCTCACCTACCTCCCCTCCAGCAACCCTCAGTTTCTTTCCCATAGTTAAGAGCCTCTCGTGGTTTGTCTCCCTCTCTGGTTTCTTCCCATTCGTTTTTCCCTCCCTTCCCCTGTGATCCTGTGTGCTGTTTCTGTCATTCCTCATGTGAGTGAAACCATATGATAATTGTCTTTCTCTGATTGTCCTGTTCTTTTTATAGTTACCTGATAATATGGATAATCTATCCATTGACTGTTTAATTGTTGTAATATCATAAACACTACAAATATTTATCTGTTTCCTGGCCTGTTCCTGATACCCTGGTGGCATGAGTTTCATGTGGCATCAGCTAATATTGCATTTTTGGAGTTACTTTGGATTCAGGGTGCTTTGTGAAGAATGAGTGCTGAAGTGACAATATTTTATCTAATGTTTGGAGGGGCATATGGGATGGGTTTGGGCTGCCAATGTGTCTGACAGTTTGTGCAATTTGTGTAGTTTTTCGTATAATTTTCTTTTCTTTTCTTTTCTTTTTAAATGGAGAGCCAGGGTTTTGATTAGTGCTGTACAAATTTTAAGACTGAAGCAGAGGTTCTGCTTTGTAGGATCAGTGACAAGAAGGGCATTATTGATAATTAATGGAAGGTTAACTACATCAGCTCCTATATGAACATATATTTGCATGTTTCTGTGCTTCTCCTGGATACAAGAAAGTCTCAGGATACATAGGAAAAGGAAGGTCATTGATTCTGTTTCCTCTCCAAGTGGGTAGAAGCTGTAGGGAGGTGAACTTCAAATTAATCAGTGTCAAGGAATATTTTTAATCACTGAAGCAATCTAACAGTATAACTGTCTCTTTGGCAAAGTGGGCAGGTTAGCAGCGCTATGTGACTGTCATTCCTACCTGGCCTGGGAACTTAGAGGTGAACTTTGAGGTCACTCTATGAGTCTTTGATAAGGGCTTCAAATCAGTGGGATGTATATACAGAAGGCTTCCCCCCTTCTGAAGACAAGTGAGCATCTTCTTTTGATGCTACTGGAAACACAGTTACGCTGTGATAGGCACTAATAGTCCCTGTGGTCATTATGGTTCTACTTCTCATCCTTCCTTCAAAGTGACTGAAAATAATAATTGAAAAGGTCTTTGTGACTAACTGGAAAAATTTTTGAATTACTCTGATTAATGCTTCCTTGACTCTTCTTTTTACATATTTCTGTTTTTCTCTTATTCTCTCCATCTTTATAAATCATAAATTCAAATGCATTTAGTTAAAATGAGTTAATGAAGACTCCAGTGATCGTTTAGATGCCCTAAGATTTTGTGATTCATAGGGCCTGGAATGGGTCTTGGGAAATGATCTCCTCCCCTCTGCCCACCCCGCCAGCCTCTGGATGGTGTTGTTTCCCCTCAGTCCTAGTCTGTCCACTATGGTGGCCACTGGCCCCATGGGACTCTTGAGCCCTTGAAATGAGGCCAGTGGCCTGTGTTGGAATGATGCCAAGTGTCAGGGAGTGCTCATTTATATGTGCTGCAGTTCTGTTTAAAGAAAAGGCCTCCCAAAAGCATGCTTCCTGGAGTTCTGGCTTTTACTTGCTGTCTACTATGATCACCCAATCACCATAGGTGTATTTTCAATTCTGGTTCAAATATGTATCTGTGAGGTTTGCTTTTTCTGAAGTTCAAGTGCCCATCATCATTTTATTCTGCAGATGATCAAGGTCATCTTTGATCCTTCTCCACTCTCCCAGAGCTCCTCAGATATTAGACTGAGACTTACTTTTAACATTATTATTTTAATCTGATTTTACAAACATTCCTCGCTTTTTCAGATGCAACAGCACAAACTATTAGAATTGTAGAATGACTCACCTTTGAGATATTAGTAGGTTTTATGATTAAAATTATATATATATATATATATATATTTTTTTTTTTTCCCCTTTAAGTAGGCTCCACACCCAGTGTGGGGCCCAACATGGGGCTTGAACTCATGACCTGAGATCAAGAGCTGAGCTGAAATCAAGAGCTGGATGCTTAATTGACTGAGCCACCTAGGCACCCCTAAAATAATATTTTCCAAGGTTAACATTATTCTGAAGAATTTGGTGTCCAATATTGAAACATTACTAATGTTTCAACATTGACAGCTATGCCAATATGACTATTTAAGGAATATTAGGCCTTAGTTACCCACTGATAATTTGGCAGATAGTTTATTTAACGTTATACATTTTAAGCCTTTTGGTGCCTATTATTAATATTTTTATTGTGTATGATATACTTAAGTGATATGTATTCATGTAATTGACATATTTTTAATCTCTGTAGACATGTCTAGATCAGATAGGTAGGTAGATAGAAAATAGCTTATAAATATGAAATGGACAATGTTTTATCCTGCTCTTTCAGAAAGAGTGGTGGATTTTCTCCAGATTGTCTCCCCTCCTGCAGACCAGTTATTTATATATTTTTCTTTATGTATTTGATTGCTTGTTTGAAACCCTGTTCCCACTTCCCATTGTTGATAGCTTTGTCTTTTTTATATCTGCTGTTAGATTTCATTACTTCAGATTGTTGAACTTGAAATGTAAGGAAGGACACATCAGAATTTATCATGAGGGAGAATACCTTCTCTGTTGAGCAGTTGCTATCTGATTTTGATGGCGTGGAAGTCCATTCCAATCTGTTTATGACTTGAAAACTGCAGAAAGAAATGTTGTAAGTACTAGTTAGTGGATTCAGAAGGCTGAGCAGGTTCTTGGCCTGATCCATCCCAAAGGGCTGGGTGGATCTAGCTTTGGTAGAAGTCTAACCCCCATTCTGTCCAGTTTATAAATGTATGAGACAGTAATACTGTAACCCGACCTTGCATGGAAAAATCCAGCAGCCGCCTCACTGTATTTAATAAAGAATGCATACAGATACCTACATCAGGTATTTAATAGGAAATCTCAAGGTACTTTGAAGTATAATGCTAAGCTTTATAAAGTAAAACTTGTATGTTAATACACCTTGTATGTTAATCCAGTAGTTCTTAGAAACACACAGTTTAAGTGATGAATGTAAGGGATGCTGGCATATCCCAGTGGGAGCTTTGGTTTTATTGCTACTTAATATTTTCGAGTAAATTTGTTTTAATTATTGGTAGTCTGTTGGACACTATTTAGGAAAAAAAAAGTTGGTCTCAGTGTAACAGAACTGATAGCCAGAGAAATTGGATACAATGAACATGTTAAAGAATATTGCTTATTATTTCAGTTTTAAAGGAATTCTGTTATTTTGAAGTGCTGGAAAGTCTTCCTCAATTTGAAGGGATGACACTCCCTGCTTGGGAAATCATACAGACATTTTAATTCATTCTTGTCTTTACTGGAACCAAGTATCCAGGTTAGTAAATGAGTTTAAACAATTTTCATTAATTATTTCACTTTTTACCTGAAATGATTTTATTCTTCATAGTAGACAGTTGCTTTCTAAACAGTGATTTGTTTTTTAAGGAAATACTTTACATGAAAAGAGAGATTACAGTAAACATAAATCTTAGGCTATTGATTTAATAGCTGAAGAAAACAGTACCATTGGGTACTTTGATTTGCAAAAGGGGAACACATGTGTTCCACTGATATGTGCTGTCCAGAAAAATGACTTCATTCTGAACCAGTGTGTCATATTCCCATGTTGTCTAAGGGGAAAATTTTATAAGTAGGTAGTTTATTATTTATTCTTTTTTTCCCTTGGCTAACTGTTGACATCCAAACACCCGAATGAATACCAGCTGAGGCATTTATATGCTAGTGTTTTAAATATTTATTTGCAAATATTCATAGAACTCTTGAATTTTTTGATGCACGTTGCTAAATCAGATGTAAAGGTAAAATATATATTTAATAAGTGAGAAGTATTATTTTATTACTGAAATTTATTTCTAAAGCAAATTTATTTTGTAGGTATTTCACTTGGGAAATTTTGCTTTGCCTTAAAACACAAACAAAATAAACCTGTCTTGTGATCTGCTTACCTAAAAACCCTTAATGTTACCTTGCCATGTAGGTGGATTTTGAAATTCTTTGAAAATCTGTATTTTTCACTTTCATTTGGATTAAACAAAAATAGTTAGAGGTCATAGACTTTGTAAATCAGTGTGTGGTTTCCTGTTGAATCATCAAAGCTACCTATATGTACTTTATAATTCAATGTTTTATTAGTAAAAACTGCCAACATTTTCTGTCCCTCTTTCTCATCTCATTACACTTGAACTTAGTTTCCTGTCTTTTCCATTCCCAGTGGTCACGGTTTTACAGAGCAAGACATTTTTAGAAATTGAAGATGTGTGAGTTTTATGTAAGATGAATGTGTTAGTAGCATCCATCTGCTGATCAAATAGGCATTGGATCTGGTACCAGAAAGTGAAATAGATTGTAACTATAAAAGCATTTTATCAATGTAAGTCAGGAAGAAAGAAGAAAACTGTGAACTTCTGATATTTTTAATATGAAAACTGTGTTCCGAGTGAGTATTTGCTTGCTGCCTTTGTGTTAATGTTATCACCTATGATTTGTAAGCTAATGCTGATATGACATCCACATTTTCAACATGAAGACAACAGTTCCTGTAGCATATTTTTAACATTAAGACATTTTTGAAAACAGATGTCATCTTAGAAGTTGTATTTTTTAAGTGCAAATAAATCATCCCAACTTGAAAGTCAACATGCTTTATTTTTCATTCTTTAGTATTACAGAATACTCTGCATTATTAGATGCATGTTTAAGTTGCCAGGTATTCTCAGAATTCTATATTCTCATATTGCTACAACTCCTTTACCTACAATGTGCAATTGAATTGTTATATATATATATTTTTTAAAGATTTTATTTATTTATTTGACAGAGAGAAACACAGCGAGAGAGGGAACAGAAGCAGGGGCAGAGGGAGAGGGAGAAGCAGGCCTCCCACAGAGCAGGGAGCCCGATGCGGGGCTCGATCCCAGGACCCTGGGATCATGACCTGAGCCGAAGGCAGACGCTTAATGGCTGAGCCACCCAGGTGCCCCGTTATATTGTTATTTAAGTAAATTCCACTTGATGAAATTAGTCTTATTATGGTTGGTCTACACCAACACAACATCTCTTTTGCTGGTTTCTAATTGTAATGTGATGGACACTTAACTTTTTGTTTCTTGGTAACACTTTTTAAAACCTTTTCAGGCAAATGTGAAGGCCTCTCTTTATGCCATGTTCTTGACTGACCATCAGGCATAAAGAGATAAATGGGATGGCACAGTTGTCTTGAGGGAAGATTACCTTCTCTTTCATCTTTTTATAATCTATTTCATAGTTTAGAGGTTTAGATTAGGTGCTAATATGTTCAGTTTAAGGAGGAATTTTTAGCATTCAGTGTAACACAGTGGAAAAAAAATTGGCTTGCTGATTTTGCAAGGTTAGTAGTGTCAGAATCAGGAGGTCTGTATTTGAGGGTGGACTTGTGATCCTGTTCCCCAGCAACTTCACTTCTCTGAACTTTGCCTAACCCCTCTGTATAATGGGGACAATTTCCCTACCTCATTCAACTGCAGGGAAGATCAAACAAGGAGATACGTAAGAACCACCAACAGGTAACCTGGCGTAAGATGCTTTCTTCTACTCCCTTGCACAAGTTAGGGTAAGCTAACATCTGTCACAAAGCAGGTGTTCCTGCCAGTGGGTGACTTTTCATGTTGTGATTCAGTAACCCAAGTTCTGTGTGGCTCTGCTGTCTTCAGTTCATGGCTGCTAAGGTCACTCTGTCCTTTTGCATCAAGCTGCCAAAGGGGGAAAAGCATGGAGGGTTGTGTGAAGGAGGTGGTGCATGTCATCTGTTCACATTCCATTGGCTAGAGCTCAGTCAACTTGCTTCACCGCATGATGAAATAGGCAGAGGATTGTAGTCTGTGTGCTCAGGTGCCCTAATTCTTTACTCATTTTTAAATTTCATTGCCTCTTTATTGTTGAGTGGTAAGATTTCTTTATTTATCCCGGATACTAGACCTTTGTCAGATACAGGCATACCTTGTTTTGTTGTGCTTCGCTTTATTGTGCTTCACAGATACTAGGTTTTTTACTAATTGAAGGTTTGTGGCAACCCTGCATTGAATAAGTCATTTTTCCAACACTATTTGCTCACTTTGTGTCTTTGTGTCACATTTTGGTAGCTCTCTCATTTCAAACTTTTTCATTATTATTGTTCGTCATGGTGACCTATAATCCGCAATCTTTATTGTTACTATTGTCATTGTTTTGGGGTGCCACCATCCCACCCATGTAAGATAACAAACTTAATAAATGTTGTGTGTGCTCTGTTAGCTCCACCTACTGGCCGTTCACATCTCTTTCCCTCTCCTCAGGCCTCCCTATTACCTGGGACACAATAATGTTGAAATGAGGCCAGTTAATAACCCTACAACAGCTTTTAGGTGTTCAAGTAAAAGGGGGAGTCACACATCTCTCACTTTAAATCAAAAGCTAGAAAACATTAAGCTTAGTGAGGAAGGCATGTCAAAAGCCGAGCTAGGCTGGAAGCTAGGCCCCTTGTGCCAAACAGCCAAATTGTGAATGCAGAGGAGAAGTTCTTGAAGGAAATTAAAAGTACAACTCCAGTGAACACACAAATGATAAAATGAAATAGCCCTACTGCTGAGATGGAGAAGGTTTCAGTGGTCTGGATAGAAGATCAAGCCAGCCACAACATTCCCTTCTGCCAAAGCCTAATCCAGAGCAAGGCCTTAACTCTCTTCAATTCTGTGAAAGCTGAGAGAGGTGAGGGAGCTGCGAAGGAAAGTTGGAAGCTGGCAGTGGTTGGTTCATGAGGTCATGAGGTTGAAGGGAAGAAGCCGTCTCCATGACATAAAAGTTCAAAATGAAGCAGCAAGTGCTGATGTAGAAACTGCAGCAGGTTCTCCAGAAGGTCTGGCTGAGATCATTCATGAAGGTGGCTCCATGAAACAATAGATTTTTCAGTATAGATGAAACAGCCTTCTATCGGAGGAAGATGCCATCTAGGACTTCCATAGCTGGATAGAAGTCAATGCCTGGCTTCAAAGTTTCAAAGGACAGACTGACTCTTTTATTAGGGCTAATGCAGCGGATGACTTTACATTGAAGCCAGTGCTCATTTACCATTCTGAAAATCCCAAGGCCCTTAAGAATTATGCTAAATCTACTCTGCCTGTGCTCTGTAAATGGAACAACAAAGTCATGAGACACATGGCAGCACATCTGTTCATAACATGGTTTGCTGAATATTGTCAGCCCACTGTTGAGACCTGCTGCTCAGAAAAAAAGATTCCTTTCAAAATATTACTGCTCGCAATGTCCACAATAGCCAAACTGTGGAAAGAGCCAAGATGTCCATCGACAGATGAATGGATAAAGAAGATGTGATATATATATATATACACAATGGAATATTATGCAGCCATCAAAAGGAATGAGATCTTGCCATTTGCAATGACGTGGATGGAACTGGAGGGTATTATGCTGAGCGAAATAAGTCAAACAGAGAAAGACATGTATCATATGACCTCACTGATATGAGGAATTCTTAATCGCAGGAAACAAACTGAGTGTTGTTGGAGTGGGGGGTGGGGTGGGAGGGATGGGGTGACTGGGTGATAGACACTGGGGAGGGTATGTGCTCTGGTAAGCGCTGTGAATTGTGCAAGACTGTTGAATCTCAGATCTGTACCTCTGAAACAAATAATGCAATATATGTTAAGAAAAAAAAGAAGAAAAGAAGAAGAAGAAGAAGAAGAAGAAGAAGAAGAAGAAGAAGAAGAAGAAGAAGAAGGAGAAGAAGAAGAAGAAGGTAGCAGGAAGGGAAGAATGAAGCGGGGGAAATTGGAGGGGAGATGAACCATGAGAGACGATGGACTCTGAAAAACAAACAGGGTTCTAGAGGGGAGGGGGGTGGGAGGATGGGTTAGCCTGGTGGTGGGTATTGAGGAGGGCACATTCTGCATGGAGCACTGGGTGTTATGCACAAACAATGAATCATGGAACACTTCATCTAAAACTAATGATGTAATGTATGGGGATTAACATAAGAATAAAAAAAATATTACTGCTCATTAACAGTCCAACTGGTCACCCAAGAGCTCTGATGGAGAGGTACAGTGGGATTCATGTTGTTTTGTGTCCGCTAATATAGCATCCACTCTGCAGCCTAGAGGTCAAGGAGTCATTTTGACTTTCAAATCTTACTGTGTAAGAGATACATTTTATAAAAAGGTTGTAGGTGCCATAGATAGTGATTTCTCTGATGGGTCTGGGAAAGTAAATTGAAAACTTAGGAAGGAGTTACCATTCTAAATGCCATTAAGAGCATTTGTGATTCATGGAAAGAGATCAAAATGTCAACGTGAGCAAGAGTTTGGAAGAAGTGGATTCCAACTCTCACGGATGAATTTGAGGGGCTCAAGATTTCAGAGGAGGGAGTAACTGCAGATACGGTAGAAATAGCAAGGGAACTTGAATAATTAGAAGTGGGGCCTGAAGATGTGACTGAATTGATGAATTTTTATGATAATCTTTTTAAGAGAGAGGTGGGGGGCACTGGAGGGGCAGAGGGGGAGGGAGAGAGAGAATCTTTTTTTTTTTTTTAAAGATTTTATTTATTTATTTGACAGAGAGAGACACAGCAAGAGAGGGAACACAAGCAGAGGGAGTGGGAGAGAGGGAAGCAGGCTTCCCTCTGAGCAGTGAGCCCGATATGGGGCTCGATCCCAGGACCCTGGGATTATGACCTGAGCCGAAGGCAGACACTTAATGACTGAGCCACCTAGGCGCCCCAAGAGAGAGAATCTTAAGCAGCCTCCACGCCCAGCATGTGAGCCTGATGCAGGGCTCGATCTCACAACCCTGAGATCATGACCTGAGCTGAAGTTAAGAGTCGGAGGCTTAACTGACTGAGCCATCCAAGTGCCCCTAAGGATAAAATTTTAATGGCTGAGGAGCTGCTTCCTATGGCTGAGCAAAGAAAGTGGTTTCTTGAGATGGAATCTACTTCTGGTGAAGATGCTGTGAAGATTGTTAAAATGACAAGAAAGGACTTAGAATATTGCATGAACTTGGTGAGGCGCAGCAAGGTTTGAGAGGATTGTCTCCAATTTTGAAAGAAGTTCTACTGTGACTAAAATGCTATCAAACAGCATTGCGGGGCATCTGGGTGGCTCAGTTAAGTGTCTGCCTTCAGCTCAGGTCATGATCCCAGGGTCCTGGGATGGAGCCCCACATCGGGCTCCCTGCTCGGTGGGGAGCCTGCTTCTCCCTCTACCTCTTCCTTCTGCTCCCCAGCTTGTGCGTGCACTCACTCGCTCTCTTCTCTCTCTCTGTCAAATAAATAAAACCTTAAAAAAAAACAAAAAAAAAAACAGATCGCATGCTACAGAGAGATTGTTCATGAAAGGAAGAGTCAATCCATGAGGTAAACTTCATTGTTGTCTTATTTGAAGAAACTGCCACAGCCTCCCCAGCCGTCAGCAACCATCACTCTGATCAGTCAGCCGGCATCAACGTTGAGGCAAGACCCTCCACTAGCAAAAAGATTACAACTCTGAAAGCTCAGAGGATGGTTAGCATTTTTCAGCAATCAAGTATTTTTTAATTAAGGTATGTACATTGCGTTTTTTAGACATAATGCTATTGCACACATAATAGATAAAAGTACTTTTATATGCCCTGGGAACCAAAAAATTCATTTGACTGCCTTATTGCAGTGGTCTGGAACTGAATCTGCAAGATCTGCAAAGTCTGCCCGTATATGATTTACAAGTATTTTCTCCCATTCTAGGAGTTGTCTTTCATTTTTTTGATATTGTCTTTGACACACATCTGAGGTGCAGTTTATCTTTTTTTTTTTTTTTTTTTGGCTGCTTGTGATTTTGGTGTCCTATCTAAGAAACCATTGCCTAACTCAAGGTCATACAGACTTACTCCTATGTGTTCTTCTGGGCGTTTTATAATTGTAACTCTTACATTTAGGTCTTTGATCCATTTTGAGTTGATTTTTGTGTATGATGTGAAGTCGAGGTTCACCTTCATTCTTTTGTGTGTGAGCATCCAGTGATCCCCTCACCATTTGTTCAAAAGCACACTGGCTTTTATAGCTTTCACCCAGATCGTTCACATTCATCATTTCCATTCATGTTCTGTTGTTCTAAGCATGTCATGTGGTTACGCCCAGCTTCAAGGGGACAGGGAAGTACATTTCTACCACATGTGTCCATAGTTTTAAATTTACATGTTACATTTCCAGCCACATGCGATGACTGGCTTTTTCAGTGTAAGTTCCAAGTCTTTGTGAGGGGAAGAAGAGTTATTGGTCTGGCTTGGGAGAGGTTCTGACTCTCCCCTCAGATAACTGTGACCAGGGGAACAGGCTCATTTGGAACAAACGGGGCTGCTGAAAGTTTATCCCTATTGACTGATGAGTGGGATCCTTAAGGGGAAGGGATCATGATGAAGTTAGACTTCCTTGACTTTGTCTATCTCAAATATTGTCTGTGAGTTTGAATCTAATCCCAGTTTAGGTTATTTGAAAACTGATCTACAAGAATCTGTTCCCCGATTGTACTTTTTTTTGGCAAATAATTTATTGAGTTCCTGCTATTCCCTTTAGTCACTGTTCCAGGCACTTGGGGAATATTAGTGAATAAAACAGATTTCTGCCTTCATGGAGATTATATTCTAGTGCGATGAGGCAAACAAACAGTAAATGTGATAACTAAGTTATATATTATGGGGGTTGACAATTTAAAGCCTACAGGCCCACTGTCTATTTTTGTAAATAAATAGTTACTAGAACATGGCCGCGCCCGTTCATGTAGGTATTACCTGTGGTGGCTTTGCCACCACAATGGCAGACTTCAGTAGAGATGTCCCTTGACTTACAATAGGATTACACCCAATAAACCCATTTTAAGTGGAAAATACCCTAAGTCAAAAATGCATTTAATACACCTAACCTGCCAAACATCATAGCTTAGCCTAGCCCACCTTAAACATGCTAGGGACACTTGCATTAGCCTACAGTTGGACAGAATCATCTAACGCAAAGCCCGTTTTATAATACAATATTGAACATCTCATGTAATGCATACTGAAAACAGAAAACAGAACGGCTGTATGGGTACCAACGGTTGTGAGTTATTGGTTGTTGACCCGCCTGATCACGTGGCTGGCTGGGAGCTGCGGCTCACTGTCACTTCCCAGCATCACAGGAGAGTAGGATCCTGCATTATCACTAGCCTGGGGAGAGATCAAAATTCAAAATTCCAAGTACAGTTTGTAATGAAGGCGCATCGCTTTCGCACCATTGTGAACTAAAAAAATTGTAAATCGAACTGTCGTTAGGTTGAGGACCATCTGTAGTTGCAAGAGAGACCTTTGATTCCCACAGACTTAAAATATTTATTA